TAACCCTTCATCGGACTTCAATCCGTGCTCTGCAAGGTGTCCTTTCAACTTGTGAACCACGCGCTTGATCCTATCCGTTGTTCTGGCATTGCGAATCCGAGTTCATTGTTCCTTCCATCGACTTCAACGATCGTTGCCATGAGGTCAGCGTCTCCGACATCGATACTTCCAAGTATGTTCGTTCGACGACACGAACATTGCTGAGTCTTACTGTGCTCACAACTTCCGTTGGTAAAAACAAACTTGCGATGTCGTCACCTAACACTTGAACCCTGGGCCGAACGGCCACGACGTTGCCATTCGTTGTCCTAATATCTCCAGTCGTAAACGAGAAACTTGTACTTCTTACATTAAGCTTCTTCTTTAGGGTCTTCAAGCTCAACTTTGAATCCTTCAAACTTCTAACTCGACCTCTTCATGTACTTTGGTAGATCCTTCCCTCTAAGGAATGACGCCACTGAAGCCGCAAAATGGACCAGTTCCTGTAATACCATTTAAAATTGAATTTAGGGATTGTTGAGAACTTTGGCTTTATGTTGGACGCCAAGGTTTCTGTGTGTGTGTGTGTGCCATTTTGGGGGTTCCAATTTTTGGGCCCACTGCAACTGTGGGGGGGCTGAAGGGGTGCAGTTATTTTGCGGGCCAAATAAACTCCTCAAACTAGAAACCTCCAGGCTCCCTTTCTGACACAACCTCAATGCTTAGATTCAGCTTGGTCGATGATCCTGAGCTTTCAAAGATTTCGACGGGCGTGAGAAAGTTCTGAGAAAGCCCTCTGCACAACATTGCAAGCTGATGCAAAGTCTCGAAAGTGTTAGAGAAGAGTGGTTATGGTTAGAAGGTGTTGCAAGGAACGAGCACCACGAGCACTGCGAATGTCACGTTTCAAGAAGTCTCGGACTATCGCCTCGACACCGCAGCCGAGAAAAGTGAGAGTGCAAGGTTGTGCAAGCGTTAAACAATGCAATTGCACAAAGTCTTGAGTGTTTCAAATGGTTTCACTTTGTTATCCAGGAGCTCCAGACGATCCACATCGAGAACCAAAGAAAGAAGAAGATGAGCTGGATGGAGCATGTGAAAAGTGGAGCAGCCTACTGAGGTATGCGAGAAATGAGTGAAGTGAGCTCAAAGGAGCGTGTGAAAATGTGGTAGAGAATTGAATATGATCGAAGTTCGTTTCATCAACGAATTTCGATGAGGGCGTAACAGGATATTCAATTTCCGATACAGCCCGTTTCACACCGCTATGTATAGGCTCAAGAGGTAGGACCGCACCCACCTTGTGGAAGCCAAGTCTGAAGAGAAAAGTGTGCTGAGAGCCCTTGATTCTAAGAAGGTTGAGATTAGCCTTTAAACTTTTAAATTGTCAAATCCTGTAAAGCAGCTCTCCATGCATGCATTGCTGCGTGTTCAGCAGATCTAGGTATGTGCACGTTCAATGCATGGCTGGGGTCTGGCCATGATGAGCTTGCAAACACAATGACAAAACTAGCCATTGCGTTGGCCATGGCTAAAATGCATTCATCTTTGTTTCATTTTTCAGCCATGTTGGTGATTCGGCCTCTAACGGAGGTCCAGGAATACCATGGTCCCCGAACTCCCTGGTTCCAAAACCCTTCGCAAATCGTGGTCTCCGAATTGGCTGTTTCAAAAAACCATTGCAAAATACCATGGTTCCCAAATTATTGGCTGCTTCCAAAACCATCGCAAAATACCATGGTCCTCACATTCGCTGTTTCCAAAACCATCGCAAATGCCATGGCCCAAATTCGCTGGTTCCAAACCATCGCAAATACCATGGTCCCCAAATTCGCTGGTTCCAATTCCATCGCAAATACCAGGGTCACCCATTTTGGAATATTACGTGGTGCTCCAATGCCGGGCATTCCAAAACATCGCAAATTTTTTGTCGCGCTCTCTCTGCCATTGACACCACATCTGCTTCTAGCCTACTACACCCACACCACGATTACCGCACTGACAACCAACTATACGTGTCAGTTGATATCTTCGCACTGCTTTTGGGATAATTGGTGTCCAATTTCTTATCATAAGACAAACAAATTTTGGGCTTGCTTTGCACGCTTGAAGTCAACAGTTAAGAGGAGTTTGGGCTTGCACTGGAGACTTTGGGGTTTAGGGTTTTAGGAGAATTTTTTGGCTTGCGTCAGGCTGTGGGGATTTAGAGGTTAAGGGCCGGTTAAGGGTAGGGTTTTTAGGGGTTTAGAGGACTAGGGTTAGTACACAGCCTTGAATTTTGTGCACAAAGCACAGCACGTAATAACTTGTGCACAAAGCACAGCACGTAATTAACCCCCCCAAAACCCTTGAGGGTTTGGGGCTTTGAGGTGCACGCTTGGTAATTCGTGCACTCAGCACAGCACGTCATTAACCCCCCCCTTCAACCCCTTGAGGGTTTGGGGCTTTGAGGTACACAGCGTGGTCATTCGTGCACAAGGCACAGCACGTAATTAAACCCCCCCCCAACCCCTTGAGGGTTTGAGGCTTGAGGTACACAGCGTGGTCATGTGTGCACAAAGCACAGCACAGCGTAATTAGCCTCCCCCCAACCCCCCCCCACAAAAAAACAAAAGAAACAACAGAGGAAAAACAGCGAAAAAGAGCGCAAAAAACAGCACAAAAGAGCGAAAGACAGCCAAAAGCAGCAAATACAACGCAAAAACAGCAAGAAACACCATGATCAGTTTAGGGCGTGTCACCACCTACTACTAGTACTACTACTCCTACTACTACTACTACTACTACTACTACTACTACTACTACTACTACTACTACTACTACTACTACTACTACTACTGCTGCTACTGCTACTGCTACTGCTACTGCTACTACTACTACTGCTACTACTACTACTACTACTCCTACTACTACTGCTACTGCTACTGCTACTGCTACTGCTACTGCTACTGCTACTGCTACTGCTACTGCTACTGCTACTGCTACTGCTCCTGCTGCTGCTGCTACTGCTACTGCTACTGCTGCTGCTGCTGCTACTGCTACTGCTACTGCTACTGCTACTGCTACTGCTGCTGCTGCTGCTACTGCTACTACTACTACTACTACTACTACTACTACTACTACTACTACTACTACTACTACTACTACTACTACTACTACTACTACTAGTGTTTTTGGCAAATCAGCCGGCTGGTTGAATTTAACGTGTTTTGAACATATGGTCACAGAACGTCCCGGGAAATGCTGATTTCGAAAGGCAAAAGCATGTAAAGGATGAGCATGCCATTCAACTTTTTTCCGCTGTGCAACGTGGCGATGAGGTGAGAACTACACGCAAGCATCAAGGCCTGTGGCGCTCAATTGTTTTCTGCACCGAACTGCAGTGGCAACTAGCACACTTGGAGAATAAGTTGCCGCTCAGACGGGATGACGCGCCAATCCGTGTTAATCTTGTCCACAAGCTTTTCCATGCCACGCAAAATACCATCTTCATCAATTCGCAACCAAAGGCCGCAACATGTTGCAATCCGTAGAATTATTGCATTTTCGAGCCACGTTGCAACTCATGGTAGCGTCGTGACGTTGCCTTGTGATTTTCTTGGTTGCCGTAATCGCACCATGTTGGACATGGTAATTGTGCTACACCAGACACATGCTTGATCACGCACCAGCGGCCTGTTTTGGATTCACGTTGGGACTCCATTCCAAACGTGACACATGACCGACGACTGGCAATTGTAGCCAAACTTAGTTTGGCCATCTTTGCAAGTTAGCTGTGGTAAGAAATGTCCCATTGAGTGTGAGTATGTGTGTTTACGCCAAATACGCGTTGAGGTGGACCGTGCAGAGCAGGCAGGGCACATAAAACTGCAGGATGCAAAATCCAACTTCACGCAGGATTTTGCAACATTTATGGTTGTCGGGAAATCTTAGACAGACCCTTTGTACTTTTTTTGTTTGCGACAGGCAGTGCAAGAATTATGGAAACTTGAAACCTGCATAAGCAGAGCATCGGACGTAGACGTCTAGCTTATCTTGAAACTGATGTGCGTTTTTGTTGTCGGGCGCTGCTGCAACTGTGAAGTATCCTTAAGGGCGGTCAGGCGAATATGGTGTTTCACTAGTACTGCGGTGTGGGGATGATTGGAGTGTTTTGCATGGTTGTTTTGCACGCTGTTCTATCCGCTGTTTCGAGTGGCTTTGCCAACTTGTGGGCCACCCTGGCAATTACGTGCGCTTGGGGCAGACACGCTGTTCGAAGCTCAGCTTGACAAGCTGCTAGAGTCTCGGCTTGGCGTCCACGCTCGACTTGTAGGTAGACTTCAGTATGAGCAAGGCAGCTTGTGATGATTTTGTCCCAGGCTTTGCCCATGACCTTCGGCGCTGTGCATGGCCCGTACTCAGAGGTGCATAATCTGGCAATACTTGTAATCTTGTGATAAACGGCATGCTGCAGTGTGTGCTTTGTGTGTGTGTGGTCACATGTTTGAGATTTCGCTTTCTCGCGGAAAGAGCAACAATGCCCCTCAGGTGCACACCGTCTGCTCAGAAGCGGCCGGCTGCTAAAGAGGTTGCAGGTGTCTCAGTCCTCACACATGATCATTCAGTGTTTATGAGTTGATGCATGCTTGTGCCCAAATGCAAAACAAAGCTTTGTCTCTAGGCCAAACCAAAGAGGGTGCGTGGTCCAAGTCTCAGCTGCAAGACTGAGCTTTGATCTAACCCATGACATCAAGCTTTGCTGATTGTTGTAGGGCAGAAGAAGAGCTGGTTTTGGCCCATGTTAGTGGATCTGCAGTGTGACGACATGTTGATTGCAAGGCTGCTGGTTTGAGCGTGATAGCTCCGCAGGAAAGAAATTGCTTCCAAGGGGTGGGTTTTCTGTAGTGCGGACATTCTGGCTTAAGCAAGACAGCCGCCATTGCTTCTGCTATATTACTGCTGCAGGCTCAGCTCCTACTTAAGTCTGCTTACGGTGTTGTGGGTTTGACTCTTCGTCATTTGTTCTCCACTCAGGCAAGATGGCGCTTGCGGCATTGCGTGGAGTTGCGAGCCTCGGTGGCACAACTCCACGGAGCTCAGGAAAGAAAAACTCATAAATAGGTGGTCATAGCTGGCCTAGCATGTCGTAGCTGTAGCTGTGTGTGGACTTTGGTCGACCCCAGGCTCGGTGCAGGAAGGTCTTCCCGGATGTGGGAGCCTTGACCACAGCAGCTTGCCTTGGCCACTTTAACCTGGCCCAGCCCTCCTGTCAGGCTGGCCCGCCCTCTTGCAATGCCGGCGACGAAGCTTCCAGGAATGTGCGCGCGATTGCCTTTGCAGGATCGCCGCACGGAGTCTGTGCACTCGCCCTGCCCGTACTTGCATCATCTGTAAAAGAGCTAGGAGCTTCACAGCATTCGCAGGCCGCCACAACACGCTCCTACATCACCGTTGCTCAGCTGAACGGAGAGAAGGTGTTGGAGCAGTTTGCAGCTTGGTCTGTGCAAGGTGCAGAAGTACTCCAGAGATGATGTGTTGAGCAACCTCGATGAGTGCCCTTCCGTCCGCAAGTTTCAAGAAGTGTTCAGTCGTGCGTCTGTGCAGCCAGGTACTATGCTAACGTCAATCACCCGGCCTGCTGCAATTTTTGTATTTCCCAACAGCTGTTGATTTGTGTCTCACGTAGCAGATTCAAGGTCATGAGCACCAACTGGGCTGATTACCTCATCCTGGTGTACAGCGTCCCCTTCTGGGAGGCCCCGAACATGCCTTTAGGTCCAGCTTGTCGTGACAAGTGCGCAGGCGGAGCTGGAGACTCCTGGAAGGAAGAGCTTTTCGATGCTAGAAGGGTGCAGCATTGTGCAGCATGTTGGCACGGAGCAATGTGCTTCCCTCCCCTGAGCCGCCACCAAGGAAGCTGACATCTGTCGTGCAGCCGTACCTCCACGAGCCTGAAGTAGGCCCGAAGAACCACACTGATCCAGCCTCTAATACCGTGAAAACTTGGAGAAGCTCCGCCAGGCGCAAAGTTCAAGGCGGTCCAGGAGATGATCCTCAGCTCAGATTGTCGGTAGGGAATGGCTTCAGAGTATTACTGGAACTGTCCTTGCCATGCCGCTAAGGATGGATGTGTTCTACGTGTGTGAGGCTGAAGGGTGTGATGTTCAGAGCTGTGTAGCTGAACATCCCGCTGTGCAAAAGCATGCAAGTGGTCAGGACATTCGCGACCACCTGAATGAGCTGGCCGAATTGGCGACGCGTGCGTCGGGCTTCATGGGTACAGGATTTGCTGCAGAGGCTACTTGGCTCTAGTGACTCTAGTGTTTGTAGTGACTTCAGTAGGTCAGCTGAATTCTTCTTGCTGGGAGTCTGGCCCGCCAGGAGAAGGTGGAGAACATGGACGAACATGTGCTCTGCTCGGAAGTTTTTCTATCATAGCGCCAGAACTAAAGTTTTCATTTTGAACTGCCACGGACAGGGCTGTTGCTTGGGCAAGTAAAACTCCAAACTCTATCTGTGCCTTGCGCGCACCGGCTCGGGCCGGGCTGGCCCAACGTGGGGTGTGGAGCGCGCGCGCGTCGCAGACGCAGGAAGGCCAAGTGTTATGTCTCTTGGTGCAGCACCACACACGTCATGGGTTCGGGAGGTATAAAGGCTTGGACGGGTTGTTTGAGAGCCGGTTTGAGGGATTCCAGGGAAGGCCCAGGAGCCGGGAGACGACTCCTGCAGCAAATCTTCGATTGGGGAGAAGGGTGGGGAAGGGGGGAAAGAGACCCGATCCTGGATTGCTTGTTCTAGACGCTCTTGGCCACTTGGCCAGAAGCCGAAGCAAGTTCTTGTCGGCTAGAGGCAACCAGGCCTGGTAACCGTCATGGAGAGCATTGTAGCAGGGTTTCAGATCTAGGCACAAGCGCTGCAGTGTGTGCTGAGTTTTTGCACGAACGATGTTGCGTGTGCCAAGGCCAAGCAGGCGGCCGAAGCTTACGACAAGACGCTTGGCGTGGCATTTGCTTCGTGCGTTCATGCTCCTTCAAGCTTCTTGTCTGCCGCGTGGGTCTCGAGATGAGTGTGAGGCTGCTGGCAAAGCATCCCGACCTGAAGCCAAAGATCGAGCAGACTGTTGGACATGGCCTGGCCATCCTGCGCCGGCCGCTTAAGAGAGGAGAGACTAGGGCACTCGGGGTTCTGCTGACTTGTCTTGTGCCTCATGTCGTTGCATGTTTCTCCCTTGCTTTGTCAGGTCAGAAGCACAAGTTCAAGTTTGGCAGCATGCACCGCTACTTCTACTGAGCGCACAGCTAGGAATGCGCAAGCGCAGGAGACTCCCAACCCACGCCCAAAAGACATGATACAAGTATATATATATATATACAAAAATTTAGTATTGAAGTGTGCTCAGTGCGTTCTGGAGGCTAAGTGTTGGAGGCCGTCGTCTCAGGTAATGGCAGCACCTTGTGGAAGCGTTCCTTCTGCCTCGGCAGAAGCGTTTTGATCCACGTGTGGTGCTCCAAAAGTGCCACATGTCATGATTTGTTCGAAAGTATCCCGCAGTCTGCTGGAAAAAGGCTTGTTTGCGCGAAGCTTGTCTGGTGAATCCCAAAGCGTCAAGATGCCAAGATTTCGAGAAGGACGTAGAGCCGAGACCTTGACGGGTGCCCTGATCCCGATCCAGAAGTTTCGATTTCCCGTCATTTGCTTCATGTAGGGTCCTCCAAATCCTGAGAACTGAGGCACTCCCAGGGCCTCGCCAGGCCCATCGAAGAGGTGGGGGGGGGTGTAGAAGGACGTAGGGGAGAGAAGTGCCAAGCTCTCACAAAGCTCACAAAAAAGAAAAACACAGCTTCTGCTAGGCTCAGAGCCGAGAGCGGTCGAGGCGGTTTGTGTGTTTGCGGGCATGAAAGCCAGATTTTGAATGCTGACAACAAGGTGGTTCAATCTGCTAGTGTCTTTGACCATGATCCTGCACAGGCCGAGCTTCAAAGCGCTCGTACTGCGAGGCTGCTCTGCTGGAGCTCCCTTCGGTCATCTTGCTCTCACTTCTTCCCCGTTGCTCCCGGTCTTGTGTCGGCAGTCCTCTACGTCCATGTGCATGGCATCGCCACAGCGCGTAGTGGAGACATCTGCCCTGATTGCTGTCCAGGCCATGTCTCGTGGCTTGGCACTCATCTTATCTGTGCTTGTTTGGAGCCTTGCTATTTTTAGGGCCAGGGACAATCAGAGACTTCCAAGGCATCACAATGCATCTGAACGCATCTCTGGAATGATCTCGTCTAGAAGTCTTGGATGATGATGCAGGTCCCCACGATTCAGCATCAAACTCTCCCAGCGAGGCCGATGCTCAGTCCAACCAACCAGGGCTGACTTGGCAACTGATGCATCTCGCTAGATTTGCTATAGAGTGCCATGGATTTCCTTAGCTTGCCGTGGATTGCTCTGGCTAGCCCATGACAAGCCCGTGACATGTGATGAGATTGGCTGGGGACAGGCTCGAAGTGAGTAGGGCCATTTAGGGCCACAGATGTCGCAGAGTCGCAGATGTCACTGGAACCCAGTTTGCCGTGGCAGCCACAGAGGCCTAGCCCAGGCATGCTGGCCCGCAGTGAGGATCGGCCACCACACCATGGGGAGTTTTGGGTGGCGGCCAGGATCCCTGTCCTTCTCAGCCTTAACAGCCCGAACAAAAGAAACCCTAGTGAAACCCAGGCAAGTCCAAGCTCGTCTGAGGAATGTCAGCATCTTCGGCCTAGCGCTGTGCGCCTACTGCCTCACCAGGTCAAGGAGAGTGGGGACCAGGAGCAGCATGTCATGTGCTCAACTTGAGAATCATCGGCCCTAGGCAGTGCGAGTCAGATAAGTTTGGGTACTTGAAGGAGGGTTTATGGGGATTTTAGCAACCTTTTCTTCAGCCTCATGCGGAGATTGCGTTTACGAAGGTCTGAGCTGCTGGGGAGGGGAGGTGTGGGGAGGCCGTGGTGTGGTCATTGACCATAGGTCGATTCTTCCTTCGTTTTACTCCGGCTGCAACTTCAATCGCTAGGTTCCAAGTCGCATTCATCCTGTGCCCAAGCTTTGGAGCTTCCAGAAACCAGTTCTCCTGCCGTTGCCCTGACACGACTCACCTCCGGGCCTCCTTCGCACCAATCCCTTGGGGCGCATCGCATCCGTTCGCGTGGCGCCCCCTGGGCCTGCGCCACCGACCCCTTGCCGCTTGCCATCCGGCATTTGTTTTCACCTGGCCACGGTGTGCAGCCTGCTCTCGGCGCTTTTTCAGCTGCCCACCCCTCGCAGCTTGCCATCCGCGCGTTTCTCCACAGCTGCCTACCCTTGCGGTCAAGTGGCTGGCCATCCGTTGTTGTTCCAGCTGCCCACCCTCTGGATCAGTCAAAGAATTCAAATAGGCCCTAAGGCCCTAAGGCCTTAAAGTGCCCTGGCTCTAGTGTTGACCCCTTGCTCGGCGGGGAAGAGTGCGTGACACAGGTCGATTCCTTTCTTCCTCCTTCCTTCATTGCCACGCCTTTTTTCTTTTTCGGCACCAGTTGAGGTAGGTGTCGAAATAATCCAGGTGCCTCGGAGGCAGACCTAAATATGGCAGATTTGGGATGATTTCAGGCCTTTTTTAAAGTTCAGCTTTTCTTTTCGACTACTTTTTACGTGCACCTTGAGGAGGCCCTCGCAGAGCATCAAGCGGCTCCGCAGCTCGGGCTGCTGCCGCAGCCGGCCGAGGAGGGCCCAGGGCGAGCAGGAGGACAAAGTGGAGAAGATGCAGGTGAAAGAGGGGAGCATCTACGCACTGCTTTTGGTCTCCTGCTTCAGCCTGCTAGGCCGGGAGTTGGAGTCCTGGAAAGCTTGCGTGCTCGTTTCTGCTGTGATCCAGTCGCGAGGCTTTACGATGCCGTCGCCGGCACTTCCAGAGATCAGGACGGATGTTCGTCATGCAGCAATCTGTGTCGGGTAGTAGCTAGGAACGAGACGTCTTCCCAACTGCTCTCATGGAACTGTCCCAGCATGCCGAACGGGATGCCAGGAACAGATTCGTTCTGCCTGATTGGGAGACGGGGCTGGTTGCCGCGTCCATGCCACGTGGCAGAGACCACCAGTGTTTGTCAATAGAGTATAAACTTTGCTTTGTTTCACTCTGAACGCCCGTGAACACATGATTGATGTTTTCTGCACATTCTGCTCGCTTGAAGGTCGTTGGGGATGTTGGCTGCTGTTTGGTTCTGGCCGACCCGGAGCGATGCCTGGGGACGTACCAGAGTTCTGAAGCTCTCCATGTCCATCACAGCCCTGTGTTTTCTGGTTCAGGCTGGTTTTCTTGGGATGGAGTGGTTCCACGCCTTCCTCTTCATGAGACTGGTGACGGGCTGCTTCGCGGGCTGCAACCCGATTTTCAAAGCCTACTTGGCTGACGTTGTCCCAGCCTCTGAACTTCCACGCTTCATGGTTTGGCGGGAGGCCTCCGCCACCTTTGCGTTTATTGTCGGGCCACTGCTGGGAGGTCAGATGACGGCACGGCTTGGTATTGCAGGACCCTTTATTGCGACGTTCTTTGCCCACTTGCTCGGCGCTGTGATCTGCACAAAATTTGTGGAAGAGTCCCCGGTGCGTACAGAGCGCACTGAGAAAGTGGAGGAGTCCAATAATTCAGAAAGCGACAAGTGGCCCCTGCTGGTGACCAAGGTCTTTGTTATGTCCTTCTTCTATGTGGTGAGCCAGACTTGCTTCTCGTTCTTCACCCCACTTCTGCTCCACGACGGATTTGGTTTCGGAGCGCCGGCGATAGGGGGATTCCTGACCTTGGTCAGTTCGGGGGTGCTTGCTTGTCAGTTGGTCTGCTACAAGCCGCTGGAGCGACGGTTAGGCTTGGAGCGCACAGGGGCAGTTGGAGCCCTGACGATTCTAGTGGGTCTCATGCTCATGGGCATTCCTGTCGAGCAGCCTTACTTGTTGACTCTTGGCGGGGCCTGCTACGCATTTGGGTCGGCGACCTTCCCTGCGACGGTGCCCACTCTCTTGGCAAAGTCTGTGAGCAAAGACCAGCGCGGAAAGGTTTTGGGGAGGGATTCCCTCATCAACAATGTCGGCAGAGTTATCACACCTCTTGGTCTTGCATACCTCTATGGCAAGTCTCGCTTCCTGTGCTTCGGTGCCGGAGCCTGCGCGTCACTCGTAGTAATAGTAATGCTTCTTTCAGTACGAAGGGAGAAGTTGGATAAAGCCTCCAACTAAGCTCCTCCCTGAAACCGCGGTGGCATGCGCCGGGAACAAGCCTTCACTGAGAGTTGTAGCTGCGTCATCTTCATGAGCTAGGGCAGCCAAGACAGGGGTCGGAAGCGACATCACAAGTCTCGGAACTGCTATCCGTCCTCCCAAACAGTATCCCAGGCCCTTGCAGAGTGGGTTGCTAGGTGTCGCTTGAAGTAATTCAGTCTGCTGTTGCTCAAGTCGTTGATTGGAAGGAAGCAGAGGCGCCGTCTGATGTCGCGCGCGGCACCTTGTCCCACCCTGAGACAAAGACTGCCGAAAGCTGACTGCTGCCTTTTTCGCCCCCCAAAAGGCGAAAATGGCCAAAACAGATCCCAAAGCTGCGCAGGTCGAGGCAGCGCCCTGGATCGGGCTCTGAGCTGGGTTCAATGCCCAGCACACCGCGGGACTGTTGAGAGAACCGACGTTTTGTATTACAGCCACCCGTGCCACGAGCAACGCAGGTGGGTAGCGCAACTTTTCTCGGCAGGAAGTCTCCGTATCCCAGCATAAAACTGCTAAGGGCCTGGCTCTTCGCCAGACTGGCTCCCTTTTGTTCCCTTTCCCAATTTTTTCAAGCCGTGCAGAACCCCCAATTGCAGTTAACTGCAACCAGCCGCTCGGAGCTGTGAAGTTGCTGCTGAGGCGGAGCCTTCAGCTTCTTCATGAAGCGGGCCCAGATGGAAGGTGCAGACGGATCGCCTGAAGGCCATGCTCCGAACAGAAAAAACACATCTTGGGTTCTTGGAGGACCCCCTCGGTGCCGTTTTTTGCATCCTGAGGAGGATTTCACGCCCCATTTGGGCTTGGTTCCTCTTCGTCGGAGCCTCGCGTCAGTTCTCAACATTATGGTCCCTTTTTGGGTACCCTAGATGAGAGGCGCCGCCTTCTAATAAGGACCCCAAAAAGGGACCACATTTTCGAGGAGTGACCATATGGCTTGAAGACGACCTTTGCTGTGCAGGTCCTCCCAGTTCTCGCCGCTACTGCGAGATCTCAAGAGCGAGGCGCTTTGTGAACTCCCGGGAATTTCAGTCCGAGTGTCGCAGGGACCGTACCCAAGCCTGGAAAACCTAACCCGGGATGGTCGTACTTGAAACCTTCCTTGAAGTCTTCTGCTTCACGGGAATCTGGATTCATCCAAAGAAAGGGGCGGGCGTCATATCATGACTCCCCATTTGACATTGGAAAGCTCTCCAGGTTCTGGGTTTTAGGGTTTACGTGGCCAACGCCATAGGCCTCGCTGTGCATGAAAAAATCCAACATACTCATATCTACGCCTTGCTGATGAACTGCGTGTTTAGATGAACAACAGGCTTTCATGTTGTAGCAATCCGACAGATGTGTTTTGCCAGGATGGGCACAAACAGCTCCTGGCTCTCACAGAGCTTGCAGAGCAACTGAGCTTTAGCTGGGGCCCTTCCTGTTGTGGGGGAATGATTGTGTGTGGGGGGGGGAGGGGTGGAGCGGGGAGGGCTTGATGGGGCTTTGGTGGCCACAGGGGCTCTTCAACCTTGCGCCGACCAGGTTCAGAAGAGGCCTTGATCTCCTTTCCCATGGAGACGTTTATCCCCCTTCTCGTACACACCTCAGCGCAAAACTGCGCTGTCTGCTGCAGGTGTTAACGGGATGGTCGGAGTTGTATGCAGTGTGATGCTTGCTCGCATGCTCTGATTCCAAGATCAACCTGCTGGGAAATCCTGGCAATGGTGATGAGACAACGGCGCAGGCCGATGGGAAAGTTTGCCTAGCTTTTGGCTTTTGCGTTCATGTTTGCTGCACGTCAGGGCAGGTTGCTTGGCTCAAAACTTTGCTCAGGTCATGCTGCTGGCATGTCGCTGCCTCTTCAACGTGGTCGACATTCTGTGTGCCTCCTAGTGAGTTTTTTGATGTTTTTTTGCCATGGTTTTCCCAGTGACAGTTGGTGATCTTATTCGTTTCAAGCTGCCGCAGCGAGGCCTCCGACTGCGAGGATCATTGTCGGTCATGGGGGGCTCTCCGTGCTCTGCTTGATCCTCAGTCTCGGGCTGTGCCGCTCAGCAGACTCTTGATCTCCTTTAATACTTTCAAAGCTGTTGACCTATTTTCTCGCTTGTAGCACTTCAGGTGCAAATCTCTTGAACATTGAGTACATAGACGTCGCTGAGCTCACAGTTTCCATCATTGAGCTCATTTCAGAGGACGACCACGACAGTCATTCTCTCCCTCTTCTCAAGCACCCAAGTCTCCAACTCGAAGTCGCACTTTTTTTACAGATTTTGCCACGCCGCAGGAACACAATTTTCAGGCAGCGTGTACATAGGTGGCAATCTATAGTCTCTTATAATTTCATTCCGACCCTAGACTTCTACACCCCCAACCAAAGAAACACTGCTACACTCCAAACCTCAAAGTGCAGGATCAGCCCCTGCAAGTGCTGAAAGCCGGGGGTCTCGAAGCCATCCTCTCCTTCCTGGCCGGGTCCTTGAGCACAGGGCTGGTCGCGGCCGAGTTTCCAAACTTCCAGTGCTTGAGGACTTCTTCCAGATCTCTGTGCAGCGGCAGGCTGCAAATGCTGCAGCCGGCTTCCTGAGACTCCTGAGCATGCCTTCAGCCCAACGCCTGCCACGACTGAACCCACTGAACCCCGATACTTGAGGCAGCCATGCTCCGTGCAGTTCCACCACCAGATGTGCCGAGTGCCTACGTTGTGCAGCATCCGATGCTTCCAAATCCAGGGGGGACAGTGGACGGCTTCATTCCCCCGAGGTTCAACCAGCAAGTGAAGCCTGCGTTGCCAACGCTTGCGCAACTGCTCGACCCCATGTGTCAAGTTGATGGTGCTTTGGGCTGAACGACACGACACGCAATCTGCAGCTGCCCTGAGGCTGCAGCATTCAGATCCGCAGGCCTGTCCATGACTACCAAACTGGGCTAAACGGCGAACCGAACTTGCATGGTGATGTTGCAGCACTGTGCAGGTTCTTTACTCCATTTGTGAAGGGTGGCGACGGGTCATTGCTGAGGCCTTAGGCCAGTACATACCACCCTCCTTGCCTGCCATCTTATCTCCAGCGATGTGGCCCATCAAGCTTCCAGGACAGTTTGCTCCTACATTCGCTGTCTTAGGATGGCTGCATCGCTGCGCACGAGCGCCCCAAGCAAGAGTCCTCCAATGCAGGCAGGAAAGCCCAGAGTCCTGCACCACCCCGAAGCGACATTCCGAACCCAAGCCCTGCACAAAAGTCCTAGGTGCTGGCGCATCGCTCGTGTCGCGCTTTGCAGCGCAAGCGCGGCTACGTGCCCGGCCTCAGAGGGTGGAGCCCGTCCAGGGTGTGGCCCAGTGTAGGCCCAGTGTAGGCCCAGTGTAGGCCCAGTAGGCAGCGTAGGGGGTGTAGTGGATTGCGTCTGCAGAACTGGTTAATGCCAGGCGTCGGGTCTTTCTCTGTCAGTGTTTCGAGGCTTCTGGTTGTGCAAATGCTGTTTGGGTAGAGTTTCAGTTCGAACTGGAAATTTGGAGCCAGGCCCTGACCACTGTGGTCGTGGAACGAAGAGTCCCAATAACCTCCCAGGCCTCAGGGACCAATTCCTACACCACCCCTCGCAAGGCTTCGGCTCCGAGGGAGCCAAGAGGGAAGCTACCGAGGTGAGATGGGCTTCGGAGCTTAAATCCCTTTAAGCTTCATGAGGGGCCTGCACTCGCAATCTACTTGTTTGTACATTGTGCTGGCTGTCCGGGACATGCAAGGATCTGGGATCTCACATCCCACTGTGTTGCTGTTTTGCTATGCCTGCGGGCTCGGGCTCATTCCATGCTGCGAAGTGGCTTTGACAGGAGGAGGAAGATGATGACGATGATGAAGACGAGGAGGACGTGCTTCCTCCCGCACCACCAGCCGGGGACCCAGGAATCTGTGGCCCAACAGCTGATGTCAGTTGGCAAAAGGAGTCCTTCCGCAGTTGCAGCAGGGTTTGCTATGTACAGGCAGCAGCACTGCTTCGTCTGAGGTTGTTCAACCAGTCTCGACCGAAACTCTCGCTGCAAGTCTGCAGGACACAATGCCCTCAGCTGTTGTGACTGTAGCTTGTGCATCCAATTCCTACGGCAGACATTTTGGCAGGACATGATTCCCAGTAGCGTGCCAACCTCGCGTGCAGAACTGCAGCAGCAAGCTGGTAGTCCCTCTACCTCTCCTGCGTCTTTCTAGATGCAAAGAGAGTGCATATATATATATATATCTATATATATATATATGTACGTCATGAATCTCATCAGGTGCTGAGCAACCTGTTGCTGCTGTTGGGCAACGGCATCTCCTCGCCAACGCCGCAGACCTCCGTAGTCGTGGCTGAGGCAGAGGGAGCCCGCAAGGTTGCGCGAAGGGCAACGGAAGCGAAGCTTCGAGCCATGGAGAGCCTCAGAGCCTCGCCTTGGCAGGTGCTTTACATTCTGTCCGTTCTGACGAACTACTCGCACAACTTCACAGAGGAAGTCTTGAAGCAGGACTCGGCAACACAAGCCCGGCGTCTCTATGAACCACAAGGCAACACCTGATCTTACTGAAAGTACCAGTTAACTACTGTCACACTACTCTTACTGCGACGACTACTGCTGCTACTACTACCACCACTACTCCTGCTACTGTGGTGCAGAATGCGTGGCCCTGAGGTCCTTCAAGTTCGTGCTTGGGTTCTGACCACTGGACTATTGATGTATGCCTGTTGATGGATCTCTTAAGAACTTACCAATCGGCGCAATCCATGGGGCAATCTGCACCCGGCTGTCTTCCAGGACATCTGCGGCCTGCTCGGCATGATGGTGTTAGGCCGTCCTTCCTTCAGAGCAAACTCTTCAAGTCTTCTCTGTATAGACAGCCGTTGAACGAGTGGACGTGACAACGAACCGTGGGCATCTCTTGTGGTGGAAAGCAGTTGCTCAGAGCATCAGCGGTTGAGGAAGCCCTGAACTATCTCTCGTGAATAGGTGCCGCCTCCAGCAATCCCGAAGCCCGCAGCAAGCTGTCCAAACCTAGAATTAGCAGTTTGAGCCTCCGAGTAAGACTCCGAATGAATTGCGGTCAGGCATGGATGTGGTTGGATCCGGAGTGGGCTCGGCTCAGGCTCGCGGTTTTGCCAACAGTAAGTCAACTGATCTTGGCATGATGCCCATGGAAAGACTTAGACTTTGCATGTTTGATGGGTGGAGCGCGGGCAGTGAGCAGACTACACAACAGGAATGCGTTGACGGGTCACATCTGGTCACTTTTGCCCAAGTTCTGAGCTCTCTGGACTTTATACTTTTTCACCCCATCCCATCGCTCACAGAAACCTGAAGTTGCAGCGATGGTAGCAGTGGGAGCAGCAGCAACGGATGCAATTGTAGTCGTCATCATCAGAGGGGCTCACGATATTTTGTGTGTGACTGTGGCAGCATCAAGGACTACAGCAAGTGGACATTCTGCTACTATTGGTTTGCCGAGTGTTTTGCGCTATACAGATATTGGCTAATGTTGATCATGATAGTTAATCGGATGAAGCCTTTACAGTTGCTTCGCATCCAGGGCAGCTCGTTGCTGATCCGGGTACTGGCGCTGGTTGCCTCTGCGACTGGGCAAAACAGTAGATGAAGGGTTGGGTGCTTAGTGGCTCTTTGTGGACACAAGTCTGACTCGAACGCTATCTACAGATGGGTGGTTCTCAAAATTATTGTCCCTTCTGGGGCCCCTAATGAACTACGGCACCTTTTATGTAGGGTGTCCAAAAAGGGACCCTAATTTTGACAACTACCCAGATGAATGCTTGCAGAGTCCCCCTTTCAACCTCAGAAGCGTTTTGTATCGTAACTTCGCAGAGGTCGTAGTCGTCACCTGGAATAAGATGGCCAATGATGTGTCTCTAGGGCTCCCTTGAAGGTTTACAGGGGTTCCATTTAGGCTGTGCATGTCTCACTCTGTACATCCTCGCCAAAACCCCCTTTGCAGGGACAGTGGAGAGTGGAGGGCCTTTTGGGCTGAGGGGCTCAAGGTTTAGAACGTGTCGCCTCATTTTGAGTTCTGCTTCTGATTGCCATCAGGCTTGTTTTGGTCTGGGCAATGCGAGAAGACACAGTCTTGTGCTTTGAATCAGTGTATTGGAAGGGCTTGGCATCTGCAGGTAAGTTGATGGTTCACTTAGGGCTTCCAGCTCTGGCATCCCTTACCATCCCAGCAAGACTAATCTCGCTGTGTTCTGAAATGGACAGAAGAGTTCTGTAGATTGCAATGTGTCGAGGTTATGCCAGCCGTCCTGCTGACGGAGTCGGGATGTGTGTGCGAGGCACGTTGAGGGTTGTTGTTGGAGAGTGTACATCAAAATCAGCAAACGTCTTGGGCGAAACTGCCTTTGGAAGGAACGTCGGCTTGTGGTATTCCGGCAAAATCCGGAGTTCCTTGATGTCGATGCCCCAAATGCACCTGCACAGTCCATCAGTTATCTGTTGCATTCAGTGCCTGTGCTGGCAACTTGCGAGTCCTTGTATGGCCCGGACCCGAGATCTTGCCAGGCCTTAAGCAAGACCTTCCTCCCGATGCTGATCGACATCTGCCAGGTCTCCCGTCTCATCGCCTTTTCGCGCTCGTTTCTGACTCTCTCTGAGTGCTGGCAGGCCTCCATGGATCCAGCTGTGCAGTCTGTTTGCATCTCGCTGCTGCTGACCTTTGCTCTTGCCAGCACGAGACTTAGAGCTTCCACTCTACTGGGACTCTAAGGTAAGGTTTCTGGGAGCGCGGTTGTCGTTTTGAAGCTGTTTGACAATGTTTGGCCGCCGTTGTGCGAGGCCAAGAGAGGCCCGAGCAGGAGTCTCAGACCAAGGTGAAGTCAGCAGTCAGCTTCCAGGGCTCAGAAGGGCCCTGCAGCTTAGGAAACATGTTTTGTTGAGGTTGCTGCGGAAAAACTTGGAGCCCGTCCAGTTGGCGAGCTTCCTGGCGCGTGGCTCATGCGACGCCAAAACATTCAGAGTTGAGATTCTCTGGCGAAAGCTGAGGCGAGCCTGCTGTTAACAGAGCCATCGACATCAGTGACTCTCTCGTGCCTGCGCCACCACCGCGCTTAAGGGCCGTTGGGCCGTGCTGTGTACAAGAAGCTTCGCCAGCATTGCCTGTAAGTTCGAAGAGCTAGCAGAGCCAGAGTGCCAGGCTGATTGGGGAGCAGACCCTGCGGCACCACTACGGTGCCTATGCGCACCGGCCTTGGCTCATGAACAGGACGGTGGCAGGAAATCATGCAACCAATGCCCTCAATTTTCAAACGCTTGCCCAAATGGCCTTTGCCATCTTCTGCTCATGTGGCCCAGGCTGCACTTCATCCGTCAGGGCGTTCGCCATGCCATTGCTAATCAGGCAATCGGGTTCGCTGTTCACTGACAGGCTCAGTGTTCGCTCAATGTTCGTTCAAGTCTGGCGCTTGCCGAAACCGGGCGAGCTGGAGAGTCTCAAAGTGACGGGGGGGAGGTCTTGTCTGCTCCTTTACGGCGTGGGAGAAGAACGAGAGATAGCACGAAAGAAAGAATTCGAGAGAGAGAGAGAGAGAGCGAGAGAGCCAAATGGGCTGCCCCAAGCAAGAAAGAAAGAAATAAAGAAAAAACAAAAAAGAGAGAAAAAAAGGAAAGAAAAAACAAGAAAGCAAGAAAGAAAAGGAAGCAAGAAAGAAAGGATGAAATGGATAAAGAAAAAGACGGTGAAAGAAAGAAAGGAAGAAAGAGAGCCAAAGCAGAATGGCCTGCAGCAACGCAAGCGGGTGCAGAGGAGGCCAGTCACAAGTAGACGATATGGACGTGGAGAGGAGTGGCATCTTCGAAGCTGGAGTAGACGCCCTCGACACGGACTATGCCATCAGTGGACAGGGGCATATGAGCAACCAGAGTGCACACAGCGCCCATACGGGCCCGTAAGGCCGAACAGGTGCCCTGCCACGAAATGGTTGGGGGGAGCATTACACTCCCAACCCCACAACCGGCAGACCCACTTGGCGGAATGGCTGGGTCTTAGCAGGGGTGCTCAAGACGTCAGAAGAAGAAAGGGAGAAGAAGAGGAGAAGGCAAGAGCCATGTCGCAAAGTGACTTGGTGCTGCACAGGCGTCATCCGAGGCTGAAAAGCCCAATGAGGACGCCGTTTGCCAAGTCACGGTCTCTGCCTTCTTCGCACTCCCTAGCACTCCCGGGTGGTGATCCAAGGGCCTGAAAGCGGCAAGACATTCCCTTGAGGAGACAGCCGATGCTGCCAATGATGCGACCGTGCGCCGTGCTCAGAAAATAGGCTACCCAGAATCTCTGTGCAGTCTTGCGCTTGTGTGCTTGTGCTTTTCGTGAGCTTTGCTTTGAGGACCTCTGCTGCAAGTACGCCATCTGTAGGTGCTGCTCCAGACGTTCTGCAAGTCTCGCCGTGTCTCATCGCATCCCAAGTTCGGTTGATAATTCTAAAGCTGCAGGAAAGCTACTACGCCGACTGTGCAAAGAGGCAGGGTGCCTTCAGGGTGACAGGTTGGTTGCAAGCTCGTTCTGAAGCATGCTTGATGCAGGTGGCACGGCGTACCCTCGAACAACATTTTGTCCCGTGCTGAGAAAGCATATCGTAGCATGTGCAGGCCCGGTTCACAAGCTTGGGATGGGTCGGATGGCTGTGAATTCGAGGATTCCAGGACTGCGATTGAGATGGTCGTTCTGGATCGGCTCAAGGAAGTCGCCACGTCCTAAGAAAGCTTTTGCGAACTGCGTCGTGGCATGTCCTGCCAGTGATCAGGGTTGTAGGGTGGATTTCAATGGACCCCCAGGCCCAGCAGTTGCTGTCGCCGACTTCGGCAGCACAGGCGCGGGTTGGTGGCCGCGATGCCCTGTTGATGACGCTGCGAACGGTTTCCGAAATGCAGGCGTTGCAGCAGTTGCGCACTCTGCTGTTGGCGGAAGAGAGCGTGACGGCGTTTGAGCTGACGTGCAGTGGCCCCTCCGGCTCATGTGTTTTGCAGAGCTTGACGGGTTCGAGAGCCATGCATGCTCCTTAGCAGCTGCTGCTACTTGTCAGATGATTTCATGCAGAGAGCCGAAGCCAGGTGTCTCAAGCGCATTGTCCGCGTTCCTCTTCCCTGAAAGCCAAGTCCCCAGTGCCACTCATCATAGTAGGACTGCAAGACTTGCACTCGCATCTGAGCGCCCTCTCCATTGCTACAATAAGGCGATGACCCTGACGTCTGCAAGGAGCGGCTGAGGCCATGAAGACGTAGACTTGAGAACTTAGGCTTCATTGCCACACACACAGAGTGCCCGCCATAGTACCGTTTATAATCTGCCAACTCCCTGCACAGGCTGTTCTTGGAGCAGATTGTTGCTCCACCAGGAGGAGCTTCTGCCAGTGGGGACAAAGGTTTCTGAGACCCAATCTTGGCAGTAAGTGGAACTAGTGGTACCTGGGAAGTGCCTTTCCGAACTTTCTGTCTCAGCAATCATAGCCCAAGGGACTTCTCTCGAAGTCCCGAAACAGCCGAAGGCTGCCCCCGGCCCAAAGACTCGGAAATGACTCAACCGCCCGCTCTCTCGAGGAGCCCTCAAGAAGTTGGTGAAGCTTTGTGACGGCCTTGGTTTGTGGGGTTCTGGTGTCAGTTTATTTTTGGGGTTTGGGGGACTTATTGGTTTCAGGATGTTTCAGATGTTTCAGGGTATAGGTGCCTCCCTTGAGCGCTTCGGGCGTCTGTTGGGGGGGGGGGTGTGTGCACTGGGGTCTCAGAGCAGAGTGGCCAACCCAAGAGGGTGTCGGCTTGAGGAAGTTCAGGGAAGTAGGCCCGCACATCTCTGAGGTGTCTCCGTGCTCCAGCGAGTAGAGCAGCGCCCGCTGAACTTGTTTCCTACGCAGGCGTCTCCGGCGGGAGCCTCAGACGGCGTCTTGCCTGGGGGTCATGGGGTTTAGGTCCAGGTTCGTTGTTTTCAAGCAGCTTTCGTTGGGTGTGGCTGTTCAGGTTCAGGGGTTTAGCATAGTGTAGGATGTTTGAGAGTTTAGGTCCTTTGAACGTTCTAGGGCGAAGCGAGGGACTTCTGTCCATAGTGTCACAGCTGCGCGCTGCTGCAGGCCATGTACCTGCCCCAGCACCTTCTGCTCGCAACTTCTCAGCCACGTGCTCAGAGTTTTTGTTGATGTGTTTCGTGTGTTTTCGTGTGTAGGACACTGCAGGAGGGCCTCGGTTGCCCTCGCCTCCCACAGTTCCATGCAAGAATGTTGTACCACGGAGTACCTGCACGCTGCCGTTTCGGCTCAGCAGTGCCAGACTGGCACTGTGGACATCCAGAAGCCTGGCAGCGACCTCACCTGTTTCGAGAATCTTACCCCAGCCTCGCTTCTTTGCCAAGTGTTGCGGGGCGTGGCGTGAGGTTTTTCGACGGCCGCGGATCGGACAGTGCTGGACGACACAATGCCTCTCATTGCGCCGAAGGAGGCGGCTCCTGCCCTTCTGCTGCATTCATCTGCAGAATGCTTGGTGCGGCTCTTTGTAGGACCCGCCTTGCAATGGATGCAATTCTTGTGCACCACTTTGTAAGGTGAAAATGTCGGCCAAGATGTCACCGGAGCTTGAGCTGTTCGTTGTCTGCGGCTGGGGTCGCCTGCCTTCAACAACCAGAGATGTGATCACCCGCGTTTCGCACTATGCGTGCCTGCGTTTTGTGCTTTATCTCTCGGCGGTTGCAAGGCAAGTGTCCGAAGCGGTGCCGGCCTTAAGAGGATTGGATCTGCATTGCATGCTGCAAGCTCGTCTCGCAAAGCTCGTATCGCAAAGGTTGGAGCGGGCAATGAAGAGGAAGCCCAACGTGAACTACAAGAACGAGGAGCAGTGGCATGAGTATTCGAGGTCACTTCGGCGCTGAGACGTCCGTTCCAGGATGGCCTAACGCCCCTCTTCAATGCCACCATGTGTGGCTCTGCAGACTTCGTTGAAAAGCTGATAAAGGCCAGCGCCTCTCAAGGTGATAAGTGCAGCTACTGGGGATGTTTGCACGCTTGTGCACTTCCAATCTCAGGGGTCATGAGTCGGCACTCTTGCTGTGAGATGCTGGCACATACACTGTGGAATGTAGCTTTGAAGTGGTGTTGAACATTGCTTTTTTGGCTTTGCTGTAATTTGTCTTGGTGGTGATATGTGCTCCTGCTTTGGTGGGCTCCTTGTTAGTTCCATCTAAAGGCCGGCGCAGAACCCAACGTTGTTGCGACGGAGTACCTTTTGACGCCGCTGGAGTGGGTCACTGCCGCTGTGGCTGCAATCAGTGGCTCGCGCTGCGCATGCACATGGACCCGCAAGGCCCCAACGAATGCCAGTGACATTCAATGGCCCGTGTACTGAGGCCAAGGTCAACTATGATGAAGAGCGAGACCGGCGCCTAAACGACTTTGATCAGGCAGGTAGAAGAGGGTAGAACAGCCTAGGACAGCTCGTTATGTAGAACTTCTCATGAACCTTCCAGGTGAACCGGCTGGATGACACCTGCCTTGCCATTCGACCGGACATCGAGCCCTTCCGGAAAGTGAAACAGGTCCGCAAGTGGCATCTCTTTCATTGTACCATCATTGTACCACCTACCATCCGTGACCATCTGCTACGGAGGTGCTGGAGAAGAATGGGGGAGTGGAGGCCAAGGCCTTCTCCAACAACCCGAAGATCAAACCAGCCCGGATGCCCAGCAGCCCTGCTTTTTCGGGAGTTGGTGGGCCGGAAGTGTTCCACATGTTCCACCGAGGATGGCTCCATCGACGGGGGAAAGCCGGCGGAACTTAGATCGTACAAGCTGCATCTTGCCAGCAACATGTCGTAATGCCCGCAAGCATCTACACGCAGGCAGGCTCGTCTAAGCGGGTTTTGGGGCCCAAGCAGGTCGGCGGACGGGTCATACACAGCATCGCACTACCTCCGCTCCGGCAAGTTCGACCTGCTGAAGTACGAGGCACGGGTAAGCGAGACTAATAACCAGGCATGACTGGGAGACCAGGGACGGTGAGCCGGTAGCCGCCATCTCCTCTGTTTTCTCACTTCGAGGATGGCCGGCTTGTGGAGTGTGAGTATGACCCTGGCTCAGTTGCCTCAGTTGCCTCAGTAGGCTCAGGTGTGATCTTTCAATCTCTGCGCGCTGCTTGAGGATCCGAAGACAGGCCATTGGGAAGGCTATGACGCGGCTGCGGCGGCAACGGCATGAAGTAGTGAGAGAGGGGAGCCCAACCTCCGGCGCAGTGTGGGCTCGCGTTTCCGGCACATGGTCGGTAGGCGCCATATTTCAGCGAGTAGGCTCAGACTCCCACAACTTGGCTTCTTCCTTTGACTCTGAAGACCACACCCGCCCTGCAACAGATCTCAGAAGGCTGCCCTGTGGATGCATATGGCACACACCTTGCAAGATGCAGTTTGGGGCCTTAGTGCTTGCCCTGGCTTGGCTGCATTCTCATTTGTAGTACGTGAATCCTTTGGCCGATTGATCTCTGCGTGACATGTTACAGGGCTGTGATTCCTCTAGTCGCATGCGGAAAAAGTGACCCGCAGTTTGACTTTGTGTTCTTTGCTGCACATGCAGAGCAGAGTGACCATGCTTTTCATGCAGCCACGGCAATGTTGCTTTGATGCTTTTGTTCCTTGAACCACTCTGAGAACCAAGGGCGGCTGATGCTGATGCACGGAGCCGTCGAGCAGACTTCATGGATGGATTGCCGGGCACCCAGATCAGGATCAGGAGGCTTTTTGTACGGAGCAGGCTGTGTCACCGTTGCGCCGCAGCAAACCAAGGAGACTCTCCAGCTCTCGATCTGGGATAGGCGCCGAGACCCTTTCAGCTTCTGGAAGTGGGCAAAAGATGGTCTTGCAGGGGCTTATTCACATCTCTAAACTATGGTACACCTTCACAACATGCTATCATGTTCTGCACATTGTGGTCATTCTTTTGAGAAGAAGATCAAGTTTGTATTCTCGCATCGTCAGTGAGTGATTCCTTTATTTCCTGACAGCATCACACTTCTTTCATCTATGATTTGCATCTTTGGTCATTTGGGGTAGGGGACTATAGTTTTGAGAACTGACCACGTTGTTAATGGCACGCCACTGCGTGTGCTATTTGCAGGCGCCATGTCGTCGCCGCTGCTGTCGGTGCTTCGGCTGTTGGCAAAGCCTGTGAAGGCTGCAGGGCATTGCCTGAACCTGGTGCCTTCGAGGTCTTGCAGTCGTAGTGGGTGTGCGTTGGATATCCGTACAGGTGTTCTGTCGGGTTCACACCAGGTCGGGGACTTCTGTAGCAAAAAGTTGACGGAATCTGTTTGACATCTTTGAAGAGCCTAGGTGAGGCGACAGCAGTGTGACCATGAGGCTCAAACCATGAGTTCATCACAGGAACCCCCAAAAAACTGATTCATGCAAAGCACGGACCGTACCTTGCAAGCTGTAGAGGCGCAAATGTTTCCAGACCTGCTTTTTGGCATGGCTGCGTGGTGGAGTTTCGCGTGCCGCCTGTGCTAAATGCCGTCTGCCCGATCATCGCAAGCTTCATCGAGCTCTAAGAGTCAGCAAAGTCAGCAAAGCACAGGAAAGCCTTCCAGGGCTTCTTCCAGGTCTTCGAAGGATGTGGCAGAGGCCCCACAGGAGCCACAGGGAAGCCACGGAGACAAAGCACTGGTTGAGCCTGAGCAGACTGAAGCGACCGAGGCAGAGGGCCCTCCGGTGGACACCTGGCAATCGAAGGGCTCGAAGGACTCGAAGGGCTCTAAGGACGCTAAGGATCCCCCAGAGTCCAAGGATCCCCCAGGGTCCAAGGATCCCCCAGGGTCCAAGGGCGACTTGGACGACTTGGGTTCCGCAACTGGTGCACCTGCTGGTGTCCCGGGTGAGCTTGCCGAGGCCGAGCTTCTGCCAGGGCAACCCGACAGACAGGGAATGGCATCCCAAGACGCGTGGGAGGAGACGCTGGCCGCACCTGTGGACGAGGAGACTTTGTGGAGACCTCCACCGATCGTAGTAGATGTAGTAGACAACGACCCGCCACACCTTGGAGAGGAGGAGGATACACCAGGGCCCCCTGCTTCCCGTCTCGACTCCTTTCACATGGATCTTTCGGACACGGAGGATGCACCGAACACGGAAGTGCGGTTGCCCATCAGCCCGCTCAGCGACTACGAGGGTTACGGCGTCTACGGGTCCATGGTGCGCTTTTCAGACGGAGACTCAGCTTCACGTGAGGTGGGTGCATGGACCCTTGACCGTCTTGACCAGTCCACTCCAGAGAACCAACCTCACTCCGAAGACAGCTCTGTGAATCTGAAATCCAAGTTTAAATCGAGTCGGCTAACCACCAAGTCCTTGGGATCTCTAGACGTTCGGAGGAATGTCTCGTCACCAGTGCAGGGAAATGCTTCCCAGCCACTGGGCCTGAACATGCCTTCCTCACGGAGCCATCGAGACCTTATCCCGTCAGCAGAGATGGCCCGTCGCTCGCTGACGATCCGCAATTCGGGTATACCAGCGCAGGGAACCAGGCAAGATTCCGATCGCGCGGAGCTTCCCAGAGGCAGCAGTCTGAACAGGCTACGTCCAATCACGTCCATAAGGCCCCCACGATCTCGACCTGTTTCCTGGGTGGATCGCAGGCAACACGTGAGCGAGGTGAGGACCGCTCAGATGGATCTGGGCTGGGACATGGAAGGTCACATGCCGGACCTGTCGCACGCAGCCCCTGGCTTCCTATCACAAGCCCACCTTCGGTCTGAAGAGTATTGGAAGGATCTCCTTGGTATTGACGACGAGAGTATCGCAACCTTCCATTTTATTCAGAGCGACCTTTGTGGTAAGTTCATGGCTACCTGTATCATTGTGTTCGTACTCATAGTCGGACACCGCGACACAGATCAATTGCCAAAGTGGGGATCAGAGCTTGTGCACTGCATCCTAGCAATAAGCCTGATTGAGATTGCCATGCACATCTGCAACCACTACCAGGGGGCACCCTACAAGAAGCCGGAAGACAAGACAATTCTACTGCTAGACTCGATCGCGGTCTTGGTTTCCTGCTGTGAGATCTGGATCTTCCCAGTCGTTCTGGGTCCGAGTTTGCACTTCTCGCGCATGGTTTGGCTCATCCGGTTCTTGCGGGTCATCAGCATGATACCCTCTCTGCGGGAGCTGACCCTGGGTGTGCTCGACGCGCTGCAGGGGTTGTTCTGGGTACTGATGTTCCTCTTCATCTTCGTCTACGCGCTGGCCGTGGTCCTGACCCGGATGATTGGGCACCACGAGCGGAGCTCGGACCCCGATGTGCAGGAGGTGCAGGACATGTTCGCGAATGTGGGGAACAGCATGTTCTATCTCTTTCAGCTGACTAGCCAGTGGAGCTTAGTGCCGCTCTTCCCCCTTTTGAAAGCTTCTCCGGGCACCTGTGTGGGCTTCACCCTCTTCTACATCTACTCGGGCTGGGTTATCGTAGCAGTGATGACTGGAACGGTGAGCTTCACGATGATCTCTTTCAAAGCTCGCATGGTGCAAGAAGACGAGCTGCGTGAGGAGGAGAAGAGAAGCTTCGTGAAGCAAGTGCTTGAGGACATCTTCATGGCCTTGGACGAGGATGGAAACGGGGAGTTAAGCTACGAGGAGTTTCAGGCCCTTCTCCGATCTAAAGAAGTGTTATTGCTGCTCTCTGACAATACAGACATCAAGATCCAGGACCTTGAGGATATGTGGCAATGGATTGATACAGACAAGAGCGGCTCTGTGACAATCGTCGAGTTTTTCGAGGGCTTCGAGATGCTCAACGAGCCCTTCAGGCAGAAGACACTCCTCAAGGTACGGGAGCACGTTGCCTGCGCATTGTGGTTTGGTTGTAGAGTAGAGCAGTTCGAACGGCTCTATCACAGCACCTCAAAGCTTAAACACATGGCATCGGGGCTCTCGCTGCAGGTGCAGGAGAGGGTCTCCGGGGAGATTCAGATCACCTCCAAGCGCCTGCTCGAGCTCGTGACGGAGAGCCTGGATGTCTGCTGCCACAACATCTACACGCCCATGAACAAGATCCATGCGGTCTTAGAACAGGTCCACGTCTCAAAAAACACCTACATCTGGGTGTTGATCCAAGCTGTGATGTTCTTTTGTGTGAGTCTCCCCAAACATTCCTTGCAGTTTATGGTACCAAGTACAGCTTAGGGCCCCCCCCCTAGGGCCTCAATGTGAACGCATGTGAACCCTCGAAGGTGCAGATCCAGCTTCTCACTGCTCTCAAGATCAAGCACCAGGCGGGATATGTAACCTCTTTGATAAGGTGCCTTTTTAGCACCCTATGAAAGGAAACATGATTGACATCAATCCCCTGAACTGCAGGGGCTACGGACAGTGCTAGGGCCGCGCATGCTCTCCGGAGCCGTGTCAAGGTACCTTAACCCTGCGCCCTCAAGCTCCTCCCTGCGACAGCTGCTACAGGGTGCAGTGCGGTCTTTGCTCAGGTGGGCCTCGTGCCGGTCAACACGGATACTGCTGAGGACCATGCAGTGACTGAGGCCCTGATAGGTGCTGGGCTGCAGGCCGGGCCACGAAACTGGCCCGACACCCTCAAGCTTTTGGTTGCTCTTGGCTCTTAGCCTCTTAGCTCAAGCCGGTTCAGCGCTTGCGTATGCTGACGCCTCGCCCGAAGCCCCTGTTGAGGTCCCGGAGGTGGCCAACTCCTTGGCCAGCCTGGAAGCCCGCCTAGAGACGCAGGTTCTGGGTTGCTTTGGGTGTTTTTTCATGGGATTCCTTGAAGGTTGGCTTCCATCCCCGAGGCTTCTAGATTCTAGATGTCTGGCTTGGCTTCCCTTTGTTGTAAAGGCTTGCACTGATTAAAGCTTTGCCACGTTTTTCTACAGTTCGGTGATCCCTCTGAAGATGCTGGAAGCCGTGGAGCGCATCAACAACTTCCGGGTCACCAGGACCCAACGGCATCTGCGCTGGTCGCGGACCTCTGGGGATCTGTGAGGCATTCAACGAGGCATTTTTCCGTTTTTGGCAGTTGCTACCTGGCTGCAACCTGATCGGATGGTCGTGTGAGGTCGAGAAATGGGGGTTAATACAGTGCGAGTTCACAGCTTGAGTGGCACTCAGCGCGCATGACATGGCAACGAACAGGGGATGGTCAGGATCTCTGTTTCACTTGCAGCAAAGACTGCTGCTGTAGTAATCTATCCCCTAAGCCCCAATACTTCGAAACGGATTCTCTAAACCCTACGCTCAATCATGTTAATGATTTTCATGGGGGCCAAAAGCTGCCTCCATGGGCCCCCAGGGCTCTTGCGGTGCGAAAATGCCTGGGGACGGATTTCAAACAGTGATAGACGATTCATGTTGGTGATTCTGGGCCTGTGGTGTGATAAAGGGGACAGCGTGCAGAACAGATCCAGGGGTTCACAGCCGCAACGGATCGTTCGGTCCACGACAGAGGCCCACAATCTGGCATCTTTGCCAGTCAAATCGTACAGGCCCCTGTCAACGGATCATGAAGGACTGCGAAATAGCGAAATATGCGACCGGCATGAAAGCCTAGCACGTCGATCACCAGCGCCACAAAGCATCGGGTTGCGGGCGGCCTGTCAACATTAGCACAGCAAAGTGCAATATTTGTTAGCACGGCTTCCTTGGAGCTGCTTCAGCAGCGTCTTCTCGCTAGATGTGCGTAGTAAAGATGTGGTGAACATGATTCTATCGAAGCGCTTGCTGCAGGTGTGCTAGAATTTTAAGGGCTGACTCAGCATTCTCCAGAACGAAGCATGGTGGAATGCAAGAAGATTTTGCACGCTGCCAGATTCGGATGAGCCCGCGCGGGTCGAGCTCTGGTACGTCCCCATTGAGTGCGTGGCTTGACTCATACGGAGTCGGCTTGGAAGAAAGGCCCAACATTGGATTAGAAGGTCGGCGCAGGTTGATGCGATCTTTTTCTGCGAGTGGTGTTCTGTAGCGAAGGAGTAAACCATACAAGACATCCTCTAAGAGCCTTTTCAAGGCCTCATCCCGTCGAGTCTTAGGGTCTTAAAGCTGTCAATCTTCTGTTGAAGTTCCCCCGAATCTCGTGCGCGTAGCTGCGTGTCAAAGGTCGCTCCCCAACTTCAAGTCCTTGTTGGTGCCCTTCGGAGGTGGGGGCGCCCACTGAAAAAGGGTCTCCCGTGCGGATGTTGAGAAGCAACGTTGAGAGGCTTTTCCGAAGGTGGAGCTGCGGAGGGCCGGAACAAGGCCAGGCAGGTAACACAGCATCCGGCAGTTGCAGAAGCTCTTGCAGATCTGGTAGATTCCGGATTCCCCGGATGCTCTCTGCTCTCTTGAAAAGTGGGAGGCAGTGGCGAAGGCAAGTGCACTCATCAGTGGAGGGCCCGTCCCTCAGCAACCGTTCACACGGAGTGTCTCTCCGTCTTCAAAAAGCCAGGCCTGGTAGACCATCCCGAGCGGCCCGAGACTCAGACATCTGAGGGAAGACCCCTTTCATCCTGAAAGAACGGACATGTATGCTGAATGGAACTGAATGGAAAGCCGTATGCCCCATAGGGCCTAAACTTGCCAGGGGCCTGGTGTTGCTGTGTCCGCGGCATCTCCAGCAGCCAAGCGCTGAGCGACCAGAGCGTGAGAGCTTTGGAGTTTACAGTGTTTAGGGTGCAGAAGGCTTGTAGGGTTTGACGAAGCTTTGATCCCGCGGTCTCTTTATCGTGGATGTGATGTCGAGATGTTCTCTGCTCTGGTCGAAGGCACGCTTGCGGAACTACTTGGCCTCGAAGGCTTGCAAGAAGGGACATGCTGGATCGATGATGTCAGCCAAGTTTGGGCATGGCCGGCTCGTGCCTATGATGTCTATGACTTCAATGTCAGGTTACCCGGAAACGTGGTGGTGGCGTCGTAGGCATTTGCCTCATTCGAGCAAGCGGACGTCAGACGCGACGAAACGGGCGAATGTATGGCAAACACTTGAACATGCACATAGGACAAAGCCTGATTAGTGCTGAATTTCCTGAGATGCCTTCTCAGCACGCCGAGGCGGCGGCGTGTTCCGAAGCGAAGCAAAGCCGGGTGCTTCGGAGTGACCCTTGAAACGCTTGGAGATCCCTCGAAATGCGCGCATACATGTCCGCATCTAGTTACATAGGTGTACAACAGAAAGCATACATACATACATCTATATGAATAAGAATAGCTTGGGCCTGTTGAGCTCATTTAGAGAGTGCTTTGAGCGCTGTCCAGCCTGTTTGTGGGTGAGGTCCGCAGCTCCAGGAGGTCGAACCCTGAGACTCTGAGACTGGAGTTGCTTTGATCACTAAATCCACCGAGTGTAAGTCAGAGTCAGAGAAGTCATGGCCACTGCCTGAAGGCGAAGCCGAAGATGGAGGCATGCGATCGCCAAAGAGACCTTCAAATCTTCAAGCCTTTCACCTTCAACCAACGGAACCTTGGGGCTGTCGAAGGCCCGGTGGGACGTGCCTCCACGGGTGTGCGCCGCCTAAGCTTTGCAGCTCCAGAAATGAGTTTAGTGCTTCTGAGTGCTGAAGCTCAGAGGTCAGACTGTCCAACCTTCTGTAACTCCTCAAGTGATCCTCAAGCGCTGGCACACTGTTGCGGATGCTTACACGTGAGCTGTGGTGCTGGATGCCGCACCAAGGAAGGATCCGGGAGCCGATCCGCGCGTGAGCGGGAGTTTGAGGTGACTTTGCTGATGCTGGCACATGTGGGGAGGATAAGAGTGAAGAGGGCAAAGGGTCAGCACTGTAGAGAGCTCAGAGCTGTTTCTGAGGGCTCTTCTGCATGTTTGCGTTCAGCTGTCTCTGACCGAACTTCAGTCGTACGTGCGGGCTGTGAATGCCAAGCATAAACATTTCCAAAGCCCGTGCTTCACGCTTTCCGTGGTTGTGATTGTAGTGGCCCATGTGGCCCATGGTGTGCCAGCATCCTGTCGACCCGTGCTGGGAGCCCAGGCTTTGGAGACGGTGCTGCTGGTAGAGCCCTTTGCGCAGGCGGACTTGATACTGTGTGTGATCAAGCGTTTTTTGACGGGAGGGATATGGCTGGTTGCCATCAGCATTTGCCCGCAGGTCTCTGCCTTGGAGGACTACATCTGGGACAGGCTTAGACCTTGGCGTCCTGCAGTTCAACAGTTGCGGCTTGGATAGGTAGTTCCCAAGTGAACGCCATGTGGAGGGTCTTGACATCCTTGCCCGTGGAAGGGATCGGTTTGCTTGTTGCGGCGCTGATGCAGTGGACAGGCATGGATCAGGCAAGCCGACGGCTGCCGAAGGCAGGGTCAGTTCCCGCACGCCAACAAAACCCTTTGTACTTTTCTGCACCGCGGAAAAGGCGCAAAATCATCAACATGAAATGTACTTCTTTTGCTCTGTTGTGGCGGTCACTATGCCGCAACCTGTCCATTTGCCGGCTGAATCGTGAGGGGGCGAGACCGGCGCAAGCAGCGAACCAGCAGCCCGAGTTCGATTGTGTGCTTCTCGGGAGCTGTACATCTGCTGGTCGAGCGCATTGCATGCAATACCAAGGACTACAAAGCAGCCACCCCCTGGGCAAGCCAAGTCCAGAGCCTGTAGCCAAGAATCACGAAGAAAGGAGTGTGCAGAACCTCTCTGTGCTTCGGCGACTGGAAAGGGGCTACTTGTAGCTCTGTTTGTCCCAGGCGCGTGCGAAGGGAGGTGAACTGGGTGACGCTTCTGCCAGATCTGCACAAGCCCTGGTCACATACGATCTAAAGGTTTCGAGGTCTTCGAGCTCCCACACATGCCGGAAGCTACCCATGGTGTGTTTGTGTATGTCGCGACGAAACGGGATGACCAGAGGCTGTTGAGCCTGGTGCGGCATCGCCGCCTGCAGTGCCTTTAGATGCGCCAGCGGCACCTCCGCCCCTCCAGGTGGAGTCTCCACTTACTGTAGCTGACTTATGAACCTTTGAGTAACATTGTAACCTAAGATCGCTTTTGGCCTGTTGGGATCATTGTCAATGGAAGTCTCACTGTCTTACGTTGATTAGAAGCACGTCCCGAGTCCTGGCAGGGGGGTGACACTCCATCGTCGAATGCTGGGAACCCAGATGAACCCAGTATTCGACATGCCAGACCCAGCAGTGCTCTGTTGAACTCTGCATGCCGGTGTGCCCAGCCAGCAAGCACGTTGCAGAAATGCCGAGCCGCATGAAGCGAGATTCACGACGTCTAGGAGGATGTCAGTGTTTGTCAGCGCTCAGGCAGCCACTTCGGCAGAGTTCCTTGCTTGGATTTTGCATGCCCATCTCCTCGACGCTCCAGGTTTAAGTTTCAAATCCTGGACACATCTTGGAGTATGTATCTGAGGCGACGAAAGCAAACAGCTGGCTCCTGGGTCTTTCGGGTTCTGGGGGTCAGTGCGGCTTTGGGGCATGATGCCAGCAGTCTGCAGCAAGCAAAAAGCAACCCTATGAACCTCCCAGGTTCACATCTTCTACAATGGCCATCAGCTCACTGCCAAGGAGAGTGCCTGGCCCTCTCCACTGCCACGAACTGTGTACGTGCTCCGATTGATAGTCTTCGAGGTCGTGCAGGTGCTGGTCAACAACCCGAAGAAGGCGTCCCCAGTCTTGGAGGACCCTTGTAGAGGGCCGTCAAAATATGCAATGCTGCCTTCAGTGAGAATAACCCCTTCGAGCTGGATGCGGTCTGAGAGCTGCAAGAAATTTTCATCTTGCCTTGGATCAGGAGCTGGGAAAGTCTGGACGTCGACGGCAATCGAGGCATTCAACTCGCATTACGTCACAAAAAATGGCCTTGTCATGGTGCTCCTCCCTACACAGGCGGACCGTAGGCGGACGCTTCCTGGCCTCCATGGAGGATCCTTGTGAAGAGAGCATACTGCGAGCGCTGTTGGGCGAAAAGCATGTGCTTGCTTCCTTTGGCTTTGAAGGAAAGCTCGGGCTCGGATGGTGAAGGCAGGAGCAGAGCACAACAGGCAGACCGGGGGAGCGTACATGTGTTTGTTGCAGGTTCGACTGGCCAAGGAAAGGCACACGCTAGCTCCCGAGTGTGGCCCCTGCTTTGTTCGAGAACTTCTCGGAAACCTTGCTCAGGCTTCCCGACACTTCTTTTGTGGCTCCATCTGGGGCAAGGCCATGAGCTTGGGTGCAATCATCTCACATCGCATCACGCCAAGCGCAGTTCCTCCAATGTCAGGTGCATCACATGACCTTCGAGCTAGTACCAGACCCAACATCACCGCGAGAGGGAGGGGAGACCTCCAAGTCGCAGGAGCAGTTCTGACATTGCAGCTAGGTATGTGGATGGAGCAATCAGAATGGATCGGACATCCATGTCTATGCCATCACATCCTAGAGTCTGCTATAGGAGCCACAAGTCGATCCGCCGGTGATGATTGTCCCAAGTGAGATGGACTGCCTGGCGGCGTGCTTAGCATTGAGAGATTTTGAGAGCCGGAGTCCTCAATGCTCTTGACTTGTGTAGCTCATCGACTCATCGCCTTGGGGGCTTGCATTGGGTAGCTCACGGTAGCTCTGTTTGCCTTGGCATGTTTTGGCTGCTTCTCTTTCAGACGAAGGTTCAGTGCCACACTCGTGTCGTGCCGATGGTGGCAGGCATATGCGACTCAGGCGGGTGAGCCTTTCAACCCAGGTGCCTTCCAGAGCACACTGGTCTTGCAATGAATCCAGGTGGAAGAGAGGGGAGCAACGTCGGCGCCCCCGATCTCGACTCAAGCAGTCCAACTTTTGGTCCTCAGGGTTCAGAGCGTTGGGATGCAGGAGCGTAGGATGATTTGGATTGTTTATGGCCCAGATGTTCGGAGCATGTGCACAAGGCGGTTGTTCAAACTTGGGCTCATTTGCAGGGACCTTTCAGAATGAAGTCCTCGTGCCAAGTAGCACGCCTGTGCTTCACAGTGGGGGGGAGTCCTTCAGGCTCCCGGCTTCACGGAAACTGAGACGGAGGCTCTGCGCTTCTGGCTTCAATACGGTCGCTGTGAAGAATGTGTAGCAATGATCTGGGAAGATGGGTGACGGAGATGACTCTTTTGTCTTTGCAGACGACGACGATGCTGCAGCTTCTCTCCGCCTTTCACAACATTTGCCTGTACGATGCTGCAACGTCGGGTGTTGGGGTCTCAAGTTGTGTGGTGACTCTCGAGAGCACGAGCATTTGAAGTGTAAAGCCGGCATGTCCGGGCGCCTGACGAGCGACTGCTGGGTGCTGCAACGGTCTGGCAACCGAGGTCGACATGGGCTCGGCGACTGAGGACTTCCACTGCAACACTCTCACGCCAGCCTCTCAGACATCCATGGGGCACTCTCTCTGAACCAAGCTTTCAACCCTGTGCAGTCTATCTAGCTGACACAAAAGGCAGGCCGGCTCAGTTCTGCCAGTTGCGGACGCGAATGCAGCAGCCATGAGCTGTCAAGACATGTCATGGGCTCATATCTCGTCATCCTCATTCCTCAGTTTTGTCTGAGTTGCATGTGCAGACAGGGGAACGACCCAGGCGTCGTCCAAGGCACAGGCGCACTCCCAGCGGAAAAGGTGCAAACCAGGGCGGAACCTAAGAGTCACGAGCCACCCAAGGCTGAAACTATGCCCACTTTGTTCTCAGGGGCTAAACGTGCTACTGAATAAAGCATGGACGAAAGAGTCATCGAGTAGTGGTACGATGGTCGACGAAGACTTACTCATTAACTATCCCTTCTTGATTCCCCAGAGGCAACTCACTGGCATGGGAGGCCGAAGGAAAGGCGAGCCATGTGAAGGGGAGAAGTTCGGTCGCGTCTCCAGATGCAAGCAATACAGATCTGCCTGACACTTCCCTGGGCCACCGATGCCGAAAGTTTCCATCTCTTTCTCGGCAGCGAGAGCATCCGTGTGGGCTGCGCCGCATCTGATGCGCAGTCGGCCTCAGCCGCCTCAGTGAGATGCCTCATGGGGAAAATTCTTGTCGGAGTTGGGGCATTTGAGCTTGAGGTCTCACCAGAAGGGGCAGAGATTTTCGTCGGTTCGATCTTGACCGAGTCGTCTGAAGCAGTGGCCCGCTTCAGCCGGCCATCTCGAACGAGGCTTGGCCGGGTGACTCTGCGGCTCAGGCGTGAGTGGAGAGGAACTGATCTTGCAGACCTTGCTCGCCCGGGTGTGGGCCCGTGGGATGTGCTTTTTCCCTTAGCCACGCCGAACGGACATTTACAGCTGCAGGCATCGCCGTTTGGAGGCTTGAGCCGAGGTGCCGTGGGAGCCCGGGTGTGGCCTTGTTCCCTTTTGGTGGCTGCGTACATCCGGAGGCTCTATGCATACAAAGGGCTGCAAGTTCAACTTTTGGAGCTGGGAAGTGGGAGCGGACTTTGTGGTCTTGTTGCAGCAGCACATGGGGCCACTGTCGTGCTCTCGGATGGTGACCCACGTGTGCTGCCATTGCTACACCGGAACGTCGCAGACTACGTGCGGCGGCACGAGGGACCAAGGCCACACGTGCTCCGCTTAGACTTCTCCAGTGCGGCGGATGTCGAAGCGGCGATCGAAAAATATGGTCGCTTTGACGTCGTCATAGCATCGGACGTCCTCTATGAACATCGATTAGTCTCACCTTTCTTTCGTTCTGCTGCGGAGTTGCTGCGGTCTCAAGATCCTGACACAAGATGCCTTACCAGCCCTACCATCCTGGTAGCGGTTGAGCTACGGCCCTGTGGAGTGGACTTGGCGGTGGCCATGCAGGAGGAAGGACAGCATCATGGCTATGCTGTCAAGGATGTGACAAACGAGATGCAGCTGTGGGTTCTTACCCTACCCGATGAACTGCAAGTCCCTCCCTTGGAGGAGAGACACAGGCTTTACATGGTAAGCTCTTTGGCTAGATCCAAAGAAGCTCCAGAGCTTGTGCAAACAGCGCAACCAGTGCCAGGAAAAGCCTTGAGGCTTCAGGCGCATCAGCCTTGGGAAGACCAGGGCACCAGCGAGTGGTACTCGCGCTCATTGGGGTATTGGTCGCAACAGGAGGCAACCTGTGCTGGCGTGCTGGGTGGGCATCCCGAGACTTCGCAGCAGGATCTGGCAGCGTCGGAGGCTTTCCTCAAAGCATTGCAGCCGCGGACATTCGAAGTGGCCCTGGAGTGTGGGGCGGGTATCGGCCGAATCACGGAAGGCTTGCTTCTGACAAAGTGCAAGAAGGTTGACCTTCTGGAGCCCAGTACCCAACTACTCGAGGAAGCTCGGGGTCGCCTCAAAAGCTGTCGTCTTCTTGGCTCAGCAAGACACTTCTTGGAGCGGTCGCTTCAGGATGTGGGGGAGCTGCCCGATCGTTATGACCTGATCTGGGTTCAGTGGGTTCTGCTGTATCTGACGGATAGCGACGTGATCACGGCCTTGGGCCGCCTGCGCGATGCGCTTCGCCCTGATGGCCTGATTGTCGTAAAGGAGAACTGCCTGCTGAACAACTCGCCAGGGCGGCCCGGCTCGCTTTAGGGTTCCTGAAAATCCTTTTTTGTTGCGAGATGTTTTTGGCACAGTGTTGGGCCTTCTTTTTTTTAGGACCAAAACTACCCAAAACATGCTCGGTTAAGCCCATTTGAGGCTTGTTGATGAGCGGGATGCATCGATCACGCGATCCGATCGGTGCATGAAGGACCTCTTCGCTCAAGCAGGCCTAGAGCTGATTGCCGCGGAGAGGCAGAAGGAGTGGCCCATGAATTTGCTTCCTGTCATGATGTTCGCTCTGAGGTGAGGTGAGAACTTGGGGCTTGAGGGGCCCCGATCCCCCCCTCCCCCCACAGCTTCTGCAGCGTTTCAAGTTTCGTTGCCAATCCACTCTGCGCAGAGGGCTCCTGAAGAGAGCCGCGTGTACAGCGACCGAGGAAAGACCTAGAGCATCTGCCAGAGAGGGGCCAAAGATCCTGGCCGAATCCTTGCATATCCAAGCACGTTGCATTGTCGGCAACGGAATCGTCGAGCACCTTTGCACATGCAAAATGCTGCTATCGACAGGCGTCTGCTATCAGTGACAGTACACCTGACTTTGGCCATAGCCTCGGCTCCCCAGGTCAGCTTTGCTACGGCAGCTCTCCGATCCCCTTGCCGTTTGCACAGGCTCCGGGCAGTCGTTGCATATGTAGTTGGTCCATGGCTCGTTAGACAGCGTGGTGGATTCGAGCAGGGTCGCTGATGAAGAATGTGTCAAGTTCTGCTGCTTTCAGGGTTCAGGCTTGGAAAAACGCTTCTGGCCCAGCACTTTTTAAGACCACGGAGCGGAGTTCTGCAGGAGCTCGTGCGGGTTCGCACATGGAATCAAAAAGCTGAAGCACCCGACATCTCTGTGCCGTACGTTGCACAAAAACGAGCAAAAACGCTGTTGAGTACCAATGTTTTGGGCATGTTCGCAAAAAGCATGAACGCTTGTGACGGCGTGTCTTGTTCTTGAAACGTCAAACGTTCTTTGCAGTATGTTGTGCAAAGACACAAAATACGTCTCGGCACGGCAGAATGAACAAGGGTTCGGAACAAGACGAACTGTCACGAGCGTCCTTGCCTTTGGCGAGCATGCCGAAAGGACTTGTAGTTGCAAAGTCTTTGCTTCTTTGAGCAACATACTGTACAAGTTTCCGGAACGAGGCATGGCAAGCTGCAACGAAACGCGCTGTGCCACGGTTATTAGCCTTTCAGCTCCTGAAGTCTCTCTTAAGTAGCTTCCAAAATCGGCAGTACTTCAGCACTCCTTTCTCCTGCAGCCCGAAAGCCCCACACATTTCAGTACAAACTGCCAGTTTTAGAATGTTGAATCCTTTTCCGGCTGGTGGAGGCGCATGTACCATGTAGGTATCTACGCATTCTTGTCGTCTGACATTTTGTTGTGCTTGCTGGTTTTTCGCAGAAGGGTGCCTCCTGCATAGTGAAAACAAGACAAAGCCTAACAGCAAGCCCGGTCCAACATGTCACTAGCAGAGCAGCTGACATGGGTGGATTGCTTGAGTTCGGAGACAGATGTGAAGTCACACATGACATGCTTAGATGCGCATATGCAAACTACGACATGACAGGATTCTAGAAGATTCCGGCTGTTCAGGTGTGCCAGCACTAGAGCCAGCCTGCATGCAGAATAAGCATGAATTAGGTATTGAGTACGCAAACGGGACTACGCCTGACATGGGAACTCCCAAGTACTACCGTCTGGACTTGGCCAAGCTGGAGGGGCTCTTCAGACCAGAGGTGCCGTTTTCGGCTCCCGGGCTGCCAATAGGTCACTTGCGCCCGATGCACTGTGAAGTCAAGTCACTACGGCGTTGTGGTTGATAGGATGATAAAGGATGGGCTCTGGACGGCAGCGGTTCCTTGTGATTTTGAGATCATGTGAGGAGTGGTGCGAACATTGCCAGACTGCTGGCCCAGAAGGCTTCCCCAGCCGGTCACTGCGTGCTCGCTTGGCTCCGCCGCTGTCACTGTTGGTGCACTTCGAGAGGATCTGCGGCACGCCGCTTGGCTGTTGCTGCAGTGGTGGCCTCTGGTTTCGTAATCTTGTTCGTCGTGGGGCTCAACACCAAAAACCAATGGTCACCATGGCCTCCAAGTCTTTGGAAGCAGGCTGCTTTACATCAACATCAGCGGTGCGGCCGGCGTTTGGGTAGCACTGGCGCTGCTTTGTCATGCTCGCGGGTGGCCTCGGTGTGCACGGCTGCTGATACTCTACACTTTGCTTCCCTTTGCCTCATGGGCTGTCCTTTGTCGGATCTTCAAGAGATCCAGGGATGAACGTTATGACTTCCCATACAGGCGTCTCGGCACAGTGAGTTCGTTTGCCAGCTGCCTCAGGCGTAGGAGTGTGCGCTCGTCCCAAGTATTGGGATCACTCGCATGCATTCATGACCCCTTCAAATACCTATTAGGCTGGCTCTGCAGAAGTCCCCTGAGGCAGAGCGCAGCCGTGCAAAGTTTGTCCTTCTGAGCCCTTGAGAACTGCCTCCAAACTTCGTGTGTAGATCTGCACAGCATTCATATGCTTGAGAAACGACATCCTCGAAAGAAGGGCCCTGCAAAGCTAGTCAATGATTAGTAGCTGGCAGGAATCAGCACAGCTACTTGTACATGAAGTATGTTTGGCCGGCCGAGCTACATCCACCCATCCGGAAGATCAAGGCGCCTTTGAGCCTAGCGCCGCGCTGGTGTTCAGGGTTTTGGTTTGGGCTAGAGCTGTCCCATAATTCATCGTCCATCCTCTTTTGGATTGCTGTAGGCACCAAACCAAACTCAACAAAAACAAAGCCTTCCACGACAAGCTTGCCAAGGATCTTTTGTATCGTTCCACATGGCGTTCTGCCCTTTGGCATCGACTATGCCACGATCGACAAGCTAGGCGGCGGCCGATGCAGCTGGGTAGCCGCCCCCATCTTGTTCAAGCTGCCCTTCATCCGCAGTTACCTGAAGCGAGCCGGCGTCATGCCGGCCAAGGCCCAGCACATCCGGGCCACGCTCGCCAGATCCGAAAATGTTGGGGTGGTCCTTGATGGGGTGGCCGGCATCTTCCAGCCCAGGGCAGAGAAGCAGGAGGCGGCGTGGCTTCTGCAGCGCAAGGGCATTGTCAAGCTGGCCCTGGAGACTGGCGCTTCTCTGGTGCCAATCTACGGCTTTGGCCACACATCGCTTCTGAGCCCAATCCTGGCCCCTCGTCATGCAGGGAGCTTGTTCGCACAAACTTGTACCGGGGCCATCGTGCCGCAGAGAAATCCTGACGTGAGGATCCTTTCCGTTTCCTCGAGCGGCTCTCCATCGCCCTGGACGTGTCCCTGGTGCCCTCTTGAGTTGGGCAGCGCAGTCGGCTGCGGCTCTGGCACGACCTTTCCTAAGGTTCAGTGTATCCACGATGTCAAATGAGCAATAAGGTGCCCTTTGTCGGACGCTGGGGCTGGCCGATGGGCCCTGCGCGGCGCGTCCCTGTGGTGATGGCAGCTGGCCAGCCGGTCGACTGTCCCAAGACGTTGCGTGGATTCGCGTGGTCATCCTTTTGATCTTGGATGCTTTTTGCGTGTACCTTAATTATTGCTGGTTGGGAGAACGGTGCAGCTGCAAATACATCGGTCCCCCCAAACTGCTTTCGTGTTGAATCTCCGCCTACAGTGGCAAAACACAGTAGGAGCGAGCCAAAGCAGAGCGAGATCGACTTGTACCACACGCTCCTGCTGGACAGCTTCAAGGACACCTTCAACACGCACAAAGCTGCATATGGGTGGCAGCACAAGACCTTGATGATCGTTTGACGAGGTGTGAGACAAGGATCCTAGCAGGAATGAACATTCTGATCAGAGTCCGCCCCCACTGTCGTCTGCTGGCACAAAAAAGGTAGAGCCAAGAGAACTCAGAGGCTGGAGTCCGGTGTGAGCTGAGTGCGGGAGTGGAACAAAAAGGGGGGCGGCGAAGAGGCGCGCAGAGTCTGGAGAGAGCTGTGTGGAGAGAGCCGAGAGAGCTGTCTGAGACACGAGAGGCTGCAATATTAGTCCCCTGGAGGCTCCGTGCCGCCTTGGTGCGCGAAGTTGGCAGGAGACGTGGGCTGACGAGGGCGAACGACCGCTGCCCTCTTCTCTCTACACGGGGCTAATATATTCGGGGCTTTGACAGAGTCTCGTATGGTCCGTGATCCCTTTTTGAGTTCTTGAGAGAGTGCATGTCCCAAACCCCGCAGCAAAGCACCTCGGGATTAATTCTCAAGTGCGTGTTTTGCTGCTGCATGAGTGGCTGATTCCAGGAGCTTGTCGGTTCCTTTTCCCCTACTCCGTGCGAAGGACCCCAGTGCTGGATCCGGGCGCTTTGTTACGAACAGAGAGCACACTGCAATTCTTTCCAAACACGTGAATCGTTGCGAGGCTTCCACGCATATCTGCCGTCTCACCTTGCATGAAAGGATCCTGCACCACAGCTGCAATCTCGGCCTTGGCCGAGCCCTGCACCACGTGCAGCAGCGAGCTGTGGACACCTCCTCAGAACTTGGGGAGTAGAGGGAGTAGGGTTGCCATGCAACTGGCCTCGTGTTGGCTCCTTGTCATTCTTCCGGTTTCCATGGCTTCTTACAGTTTGAAGTGAGGCGCAGCACGCGCACAACCAGGAGACACATCGGCGGTGGCAGCCCCAAATGGCAAAACAATGGTGTGTTGCAAGATGACCCAACTTCATGCCACGTCAGGCTCGAAAGCGAGGTAAGCGTCGCCAGCGTACCGCGCCAGAAGGCTGGAGCAAGCCGATGCCGTTACGCTCTGCACACTGGGCTGCCAAAGCGGCTCTTAACGACTTCAGTCTTCAGAAAAGGTGCGGATCTCCAGGCAAAGGCTCTTGGACAGTGCCGTGGGTCCCCGAGCAGTGCTGGGTCAGTGGCCGCTGTTTTCAGCCTTCTTCGGGAAGCTTCCAAGTTGTAGGACAGGACTTAGACTGACGGGCATCAAAGCCTGCAAAAACCCGTGAGGTGAAGGTCATGAACCTCTATTCGGCAGGGAATGCTTTGTCTGGAGCCCAGAGGCACTGCCTATTTTGATGCCTTATTAGTGCCTTTAGGCCCTTTAGGCCCTTTAGGGCCTTTAGAAGGCCTTTTTGCTGGGAGTTGGCTCCGAAAATCAGCCTGAGGTTGGAGATCGAGTACGCGGGGGAGGCTGCTGGGACAGGGAAGTGTCGTGAAGTTGGGAGACAGCGAAACGGAGTGGCCGGTAGCAAGAGCCGATGAGCAACTGGCAGAAATGGGATCTCACAGAACAAGGAAGAAACAAGCAACCAGCATGATCCCACTTCAGAGGGAAGTGTTCCAAGCACCCTTTCAAGATGCCCTAAATGTACCCCCTCCCAATGAAGGCGTGCAGGGGAACCTTCACTCTGAGAGGTGGGAACCGGCTCCGGCCCGACCCTCGAGTTCTATGCCCAGGTGGCGGAGAATCTGAGGACAGCGGGGTTTGTCGGGGCTAAGAGGGCTTGGGGTGGTCTCAGGCTTTTGGGTGCGCTTGTGGTGGCGTCTTTAGGGCTTCATCTTCTTTGGGTTTGGCAGCGCTTTGGCTGGCTTGCGCACGTGGTGTCGTTGAGAGCTTGGATTGCAAGAGAGGAAACTGAGGGGCTAAATCCATTCGATCCTTTCCCAGCATGCCATACTGACAAAAATGCAAGGACTCTACAGCCACAGCTCTTCCGCACCAGCACACCTGGGGGCATGTTGCGTGGCAGCATGGTGAATTGCAGGTGATTGCTAGCCTCCATGAAATGCCGTCAACCAGCTCGAAACGGCCAGGCTGTACCCGCAGCCCTACGATCCCCACTGGCTTCGCAGAGCTGACGAACAGGCGTGGTGAGCATGGGCATGGGAACTGCGTGGCGATGTCTGCAGTTCAAGTGATGCAAATGTTCGCATGGAAGAGCAACAACTAGTTGTGTTTTGCTTTGCCAGGGCTCTCAGCAGATCCTGGAGCGCTTCAGGCCGGCAATGCCGGGTGGGAGAGCTCGAAGTCTCTTGTGATTACCGCCTGCTGGCTGTCACTGGCAGGCTGTTGGGCCAGGTTGTTGCGAAGTGCATCATCGACAATCGTCTGGTGGACATCCAGTCTGGATCTTTGGATCACCAAATCCCCACAAGAACCCTCCGCACGGAATCCGGTGCTTGAGGCTGCATCCTGCATTTTGGCGGTCCGTGCTCGGTCCCGTGCCGAGAAAGCCCGGGTGGTTTCTGTGTTTTTGGGTCATGTTCCGCCCACATTTTGGTCTATTTTCGAATCACCGATATGAAGCTCCGCTGACTGCATGCTGAAGTTACATGCGTGCCCAAGGAGGTGCGCCCCTGTCCCAGCAATGGCTGCGGTCAGTTGACCCCGAGGCCCTGAGCCTAAGCTGAACGCAAGACAGGGGAGACCGAGGGAATGGGGAGTGACCCGGCTTGGACGACCTGAAGCCCTCTGTTTTCAAGCACGTGTTCGGGGCTGCGAGCCACCAGCACTGCACGTCGGTCACTCTTTTGGCAAGCAAGCTATAAGCCATACTACAAGCCAGAGTGCGAGGTGCGAGGGCCGAGAAGAGAGAGAGCTGAACGATCATGCCTGGACTGAATCTTGCTGGTGTCAGTTGTACTCCTCGCTGGAGAACATTCGCAACATGGATGGCGATAAGCTTGAGGGGCTGTGCATCGACTTCACCATGCCAGGCTCGAAAGAGCGCAAGTTTTGATCCATCCGTGATCCATCTGTGCTTGGACGGCAGGCCAAGCTAGCGTCGAGCTGAAGCCCGGAGGAGCTGGGTTCAGTCTGAACAGCAGCAGCCTCAGCAGCCCAAGAGCTGTACTGCACTCCGCATCTCCACGTTGACAGCGCATGGTCACCATGTTTCTGCCAAGCTGGTGGCAGGCTCCAATCGGGAGGAGTATCTACGTCGTGTTGCAGAGGTGAGAGAGCTGTGACTCCTTCCAAGACGAAGTCTTGCGCATCTACCTGTGCTTTTGTCAGGTGGCGCTGGTTGAGGCAGTAGCGCCCCAAATCAATGCCTTCAGAACGGTGTGCCCGTCCGCTTTACCACTTTCTGCACGGGGTTCCCTGTATCAGCGTGAGTCGGTTGGGCATCTCATCTGCAGCAGTGACGCGCCCTCGCGTGCCAGCCCTCTGGCAGAGGGGCACGTGTCTCCGTGTTTTGTTTTTGTGAAGACACATGAAGTGAGTCGTGCAAGGAATTTGCTGCAGGGTAACCATAGAGAGTATGCCAGGCGTTCAAAGAACTCTTGCCGCTGGAGACATGCCGCATCTGGTCAGAACAGGCGTGCCTCTCTTCGAAATCGTCGCGTCGGGTGACTCAGCCATGCTGACTCTACCAAGTGTCCACACTGTTTGCAGGAGCTTTCTTTCATCATCGTTGGCTCCTCCGTCCAAGAGGATGCTTTCTGGAGCCTGGACCATCTTGCAGCGAACATCAAGGCCTTCAGTGCCTGCTTGCCCAAAACTTCTGGCTCCGGTCGCAAGTCGGCCAGGCACAGCATGGCTACACGGCCGACTCCAGGCAAGCTGTCATGCTGCAACACATGGATACTGAAGTTGCTGTCCGCAAAGAACCTGCCTCGTCAGGTGCTTTAAGGATCTGCTGAACTTCCTCTCCGAGTTGTCAGCCGAAAACAGGCGAGCTTGTTTGACGTTTCCATTGTTGCTTTACTTTATTGTAATCTGCTGCTGCAGCTTGGCAGAGCAACAAAAACTCTCAGGCGAAACTTCCTGATGTTTGCAACTGGTCGAAGCCCTGGTTCGCTTCGCATCTCCGTTGTGTCGAGCAGACGGTTCATGCAGGTGTTACATTCAAAATTGTGCGAATCTGTTGGTCTGAGAGGTGCACCGACTTTGCCAATTGGCGGCTTCAGTGGCCTCAAGCCACCTCTGACTGTTGTCAAGAAGGACTGATGGCTGAGCATCTCGTATCTCCACTGAGCAACCCCTGCTGGGTCTCCCATTAGGAAGCGCCATCTGCTCCACTCACGCGTGGCTGACACCTTTGGCATCTGTTCTCTTATGGTAGTATGGTAGTTGGATGTCGTCTATGCGAGTTGATGCGAATGCTGTCAGCCGTGGGTGGGCCAGGGCAGACGATTTCATGCCATCTGTCATGACGTGTGCAAACTACCTGAAGCTGCCTGAGTGACCCCCCCGCATTGTGTAAGCACGAGTAGCCGACGCACCACAGCAGGTCTTCTGCACCATACCTGACAGTTGGTGCCAACAGAATTGGAGAGGTACAGCTCAGCTGACACGCTGAAGCAGAAGCTCCAGCTGGCCATGCGGGAAGGGTGCGTGACCTAGTTTGTGCTGTTTGGTGCCGTTTTAAGAGCACTTGTTTCAGTCCGTCCTGCAAGGCAATGTGCCTTCCTACTCTCCTAGAAGGTCGAGAAAAGCGCTGATCCCAGTTTCTGCTTTGTGGACCTTAGTAATAACAGCCGTCGAATGAGTGAGTGAGTGAGTGAATCAATGAATGCATGAGTGAATGAAAATGAAGGAATGAAGAAATGAAGGAATGAAGGCATGAAGGAATGAAGGAATGAAGGAATGAAGGAATGAGTGAATGAAGGAATGAAGGAATGAAGGAATGAAGGAATGAAGGCATGAAGGCATGAAGGAATGAAGGAATGAAGGAATGAAGGAATGAGTGAATGAAGGAATGAAGGAATGAAGGAATGAAGGAATGAAGGAATGAAGGCATGAAGGCGTGAAGGAATGAAGGAATGAAGGAATGAAGGAATGAAGGAATGAAGGAACGAAGGAACGAAGGAGTGGAGGAATGAAGGAATGAGAGGAATGAGAGGAATGAGAGGAATGAGAGGAATGAGAGGAATGAGAGGAATGAGAGGAATGAGAGGAATGAGAGGAATGAGAGGAAGGAGAGGAAGGAGAGGAAGGAGAGGAAGGAGAAGGAGAAGGAGAAGGGAGAAGGAGAGAGCGAGAGAGAGACTCCCCATGCCCCAAAGAAAGAAAGAGAGAGAGAGAGAGAGCGAGGGCGAGCGAGCGATCGAGCGAGAGAGAGGAAAAGAGAGAGAGAGAGAGAGCTCCGAATACAGGGGCGGGCGATGAGGCCCGGGGGTTCGTACCGCCCTCAGCCAACTGACCCACTGGAGCACGCCCGAGAGGGCGACCTCCCCTTGGGGGGGTTGAGTGCGGAGGAAGGAAGGAAGGAAGAGAAAGAAAGAGAGAAACGAGAGCAAGAGAGAAAGAGAGAAAGAGAGAAAAAGAGAGAAAGAGAGAAAGAGAGAAACTGGATGGGCGGTTGAATTCTTTTGTCGGTGAGCTTGCTTTTGATTCGAAACGAGGGTTCTTTGCCCGGGAAAAGCCGCAATTGTGCTCCGCTCATTCATTCGAGGTTGGCTCATGTGTCGAAGTTGATGTCGGCTTTGATTCGCTGCAGAGTTGATGATGATTGCACCATCCGGCAAGTTTCCTGTAATGGAGCCAAAAGGTGCTGAAGACATGTGGAATGATGTCAGGACGCGTAATGCTGGTGCCGACTCCTTGCCGTTTTCTTTTGGGAGAGATCCGGAGCTGGATACGGTGCGCTGTGCGACCGAGTCGGGTGTCGGAGGCCGAGCGATGATTGCTGCTGTGCAGCATTATCTGAGGCGCGGCCAGCCAAGGTTTGAAACGGCAAAGGAGCAGGTCCTAAAAGCAAAATGCGTCCAGCGGTTCCTTTCGTCGACCATGACCTTCAAGGTTGAGCGGACGGTCGATGTTGCAACGGCGGACGGGGAGGTTTTGACATTGCCACCTGTGCCACGAGTTCGCGTTGCTTCTGAGGCAATTTGGTTCTACGCGAGGATGCCTAGGAACTTGCAGAAGAAGAATTTGTCGGTGAAGGCTCACACTGTGAATCAGCTGACAGAGAAGGTGTTAGTGAAGGCGCTGGAAAAACTTTTTCTGAAGAAGACAACAGCTGCCGTGGAGGCAACTTGCGTGCAAGGCGGCACGCGTTCTGGTCAGCGTGACTTGATTGCTGCAGCCGGTGAGATCGGTGTCTTTGAAGAGTGTGGCTATGTGAACTCCGTGCCGAAGTTGTGCGAAAACCCGCTCGAAGCTGCGCACCACTTGTTGTTGCAGGAGATATCATGGGAAGGCTGCACGAAGCAGCGATGGCAATGGCGTCGTGACTTGTCAGATGAGGTTGCTGCTGATCCACTTCTTTGTTCCGCAAAGACGGTCCTTGAAAGATATGAGGATGGCGATGGCCAACCGGACTTTTGTCAGAGGAATTTAGAAGAGATTGTGAAGAAATATCCGACAGCTGCCTTGTTTTATCAAGTTCTGATGCCGATCTTGAGGCCTGCAGATGTCAAGGCTCGAATGGTTGCGAAGCAGTCGCAGGTAAACACCGCACCGGTTGTGGAGCTTGTTGTTGATTTGGCAAAGAAGGAGTTGTTCGGCATGGGTTGCCGACGCCCGAACCATAAGGAGCCGCTGCCGCATCTCTTGGAAAGAACGGCTGAGGTCCAGGTCGGGCATCCGTCAACATCTTGCCTTTTGTACGACGCTCCACAGGCGACCGACAGAAAGCAAAGTCCTGATGCGGTTGGTGCCTCAGTGGTTCTTTGCGATTTCTTCTCGCGGGATGGAAGAAAAGATAGGAATGTGATTGAGATCATGGCTGCTGCTTGGCCATCGCCGAAGCTCTTTTAACCGTTAGAGAGCTTTGAATTTCTCGCAGCTGAGAAACCGGTACCTCCGGCCTTGGTTCAAGAAAACGCGCGGGCGTTGTCAAAGGGCTGGTTTGGGAAGATATTTCTTGCCCGATTGTCACCTTGGATGAGGAGATGATTTCTGACGGTGAGGATGAATCTATCGGCAATGGTCGTCGCAGGAAATTGGCAAATTTGGTGGTTTGCCAGGATTTGATTGACTGCCCGCTGTCTGTTGTTCTTCTTAGTGCCCCGGCTGGCCAAGGAAAAACATGCCAGCGCATTGCTGCGAGAGCTCTTGGGCTTTTCAACGCAAGTGAACCCGTGGGGAAGGATGAGCAGGCTGTTGTGGACAGGTGGTCTTCTGCAGAGAAGAAAGATGAAAAGGTGAGCCCGGGAAGGCCGGAGCTAGTTATTTTGGCGCTGCTTAATGAAACCGCATGTGAAGAGAGACGCCGTGCTGCTTCTGAGCCGTTTCTTCGCGATCGGTATGGCCTCGTCCCTGTCATTCTGCAAACGGTTCACTGTCATGGAAATCCGATTCTCGCGGAAGCTGATGCTGGGGGTCGTGATGAGGTTGATTTGTTGAACCAGAAGGCTGGCGAGGTGATTGCGCTTGCGCGTGGGAATCTTGTCGCTTCGCTTCATAGACTTGTTGAGGCGGTGAAGAAAAGAGTGAAAGAAGGAAAGCGTGCTTGCATCGTTGTTGATGAAGTTCACCCAGCAGACGCCATCGCCCTCGCGAATGGGGCCACCGAGGAAGAAAACAGGGGGCCGATGGGAGGACCAGGAAGCCACCGCCCGGTCCTACAAGCGAGGGAGGCGATAAACCACGCCCTGCTGCTGGGGGAAGTCACAGAGGAGCTCTGGCAAGCGTACCAAGCACTCCACGCCTGGGTGGTACAGATATGGGGGAGGACATTGTGGAAGTTCCGCAAGGGCATGAGCGCGAGCCGGAGGAAAGGGGCACGAAAAGGAGCATGCCGGCGGAAGAAGCAGAGGAAACTAGAGCAGCCAAAATAGCCAAACAAGCCGAAGCAGAGAGAACCGACAGGGGGCATGAGAGCGAGGAGGGGGGCGGCGAAGAAGAAGAAGACAAAGAAGAGATGATGATGGAGGGGGAGGAGGACGAGGACACGGACATGGAGCGCCTCCTGGGAGACGAAGCTGTTCGAGGGCATATGGCGACCCGAAGAACGAGGCAAACGTCGTGGCAGACAGGGGAAACCCAACCGTGGACACCGCCGGGACCCCTACCTCTACCTGCAGCACTTGAAGAAAGAGATGAACAACGTGGGGGGCTACATCATGGACAAGAAGAAGTGAGAGTGGAAGAAGAGGGGCTAGACGCCCACGAGGGATCGGATGACGAACGCCGTCGACGTAGACTACACGGGGCCCTCGGGGAGTGAACATAGGTGTAGTCCATGTATGGTTGTGAGTAAGGGTGAAATAGGTGTTTTAGGAAAGGGGGCCGACAACCAGTTTCACGAAGGCCAACCCGGGATCGAACAACAGGGGTGTGCTAGAGTACAGAGTCACGCCCGATGGGAGGATCGATGTCACATAGGAAGGGGTTTGCTTGAGGATGGGGGCTCTAGTTTGATGGTTGGTTTGGGTTAGGGTCCAGGAGAATCGCGCCTCCCGGAGGGGGACACTCACCGGCACAGGCCCAATGTGGCCATGGCAGGGCTGTTCGAACGACGCGGGAGCGGGGTCGCGCGGTTGCGCGGGGGCTTGCCCCCACACCCCAAAGAAAGAAAGAAAGAGAGAAAGAGAGAAAGAGAGAAAGAGAGAAAGAGAGAAAGAGAGAAAGAGAGAAAGAGAGAAAGAGAGAAAGAGAGAAAGAGAGAACGAGAGAACGAGAGAAAGAGAGAAAGAGAGAAAGAGAGAAAGAGAGAAAGAGAGAAAGAGAGAAAGAGAGAAAGA